GGCGTCATCGTTGCTAAGGAGCCAGCCGAACTGCTGGCGGCGCATTGGGAAGGGGGACGCGCCGTGTCAGAACGGAAGACGCGGTGCGCTGCTCGTAGGAGTGCACTGCGTGTAGGAATGCTTTCGCATTCCTACACGTAAGCAGTCTTAAGTGTCTCTGTCGAATTTTTTACATTGCGCCCGGTGCACTTACTACTTTATTTAAAGCACATAACCTCTAATTTACTTTGAAGTTTACTTCAAGTACTTTTTACCCAACACTGGGGGGGGGGGGGGGGGGGGGGGGTAGTCTTGGCTGCGGGCCTGCTGTCACGCATACATCCGTCTAGAGGTGACATCTTTTGCATACATCCGTCTGGCGATCACAGTACTGGCGATACTGCCGCGCGCAGGGCCGAATCAACGTATTCTTACTCGGGACGTAACTTTTATAATTTCGTCCTAATGTCTTGTTCTCAAAAGTGCGTGTTCATTATCACCCCTGACGCTCGAACTTACTGGGTCGGGGTCGAATATTCGAGATGACGAGCATAATAGCCGAGCGCCGTATTTGCCGATTCATTCCCTGGTTCTCTCGTGTAATAGCCAGTTATACTATTACGCCGACTCTCCGTCGCCTACTGCTGCCGCCGCCGCCGAAGCTCGCTGCTGCTTTCTCGACGTCTGTTTCTCGTTTTCGTTTCTGGCGCAAATTCGCCCCCATTGAACCTTTAGTTCATTCTATTTTCTCCTGGCTTATCGTCTGTCATTCGTGGCAATACGTTGCCCAGATCTGTTTTGTTGAGCTGATATTTTTATGCCGCCAAAAGCCTAATTATTTCTTCTTGAAAAAATTACAAAATTTGACCTTGGGAGCATTAGAGGGGGAGGGGAGAGAGGGAAAGGGGGTCCACTCTCCCCCTTCTTTCCTAAATGCGCCCCTGCCCAAGATTCCTCGGTTTCGCAGCGCAAGCTTTCGCTCCACGTGCTCCGAGCGGTGGTGCACTAGCTGACACACTCGGCCACCGATCCCCCTTTACGGCAGCCAACCCCGCCGTTGAAAAAGACTAACCAGTGGCATAGTTAAGGGGGAGGGGGAGGGGGGGGAGAAGCTGACGGGGCTTCAGTACCCCCTCCCTGAAATGGAGCCGACGTACCCTATGCGGACCGCAAGTTCGTCTGCTGATGTCAGAACGCCGAGCTCTGAAATTGACTCTGATTGAACGAGGGTTGGTGACACCAAAGCAAGCTGCCTTGAGGTCTGGTCACTATCATTCCATCAGAACCAATCAGAGCTCGACTTCCTGACGTCATCACAACCCCTGCAAACTTAAGCGTATGTTTTCGAATAAAAAAAAAACACAAAAAACACTCGCCGGTAAATTTTCGGTCCCCCAGTTCGGATTTATCCAAAAACTCAGAATTTCCAGATCACAGCGAAAAAATAAAAAAAAAGCAAAAACATGTTTTTTTTTCCGTTATTTTTTTTTTTAAATAAAATTCACAGGGGGGCCGGCACAGGGTCAGTGAACCTGAGGAGATACCACTTCAGTTTCCTTTACAATCCCGAACTGCTGACAAAAGGGGTTTGCCAGGTTTGCCTCTTTGTTTGTCAGTTCCTTCAGGACGACTAACCATAACAGCCAGGCGTTTCTTTTTTTCTTTCTTTCTTTCTTTCTTTTTTCTTTTTTTCTTTTTATAGGAAGCACAGTAAAATAGTTTCCGAATTAAAAAAAATGGAGATCTAAAAAAAAAAAAAAAAAAAAAAAAAAAACTTCGATTGACTTTGAATTTTCAGTGAAAAATAAACACCGAAAGACACCCTTCGAATTTCACGAAAAACTAAACTTCCAAAAATACGGACTCACTGTGAGACAGCGTCGAAAGGGCACCCTCATGGTGTTCGTCGTGTTTCTGTACGTGGTTTATCATCGCTGAAGAAATCATAAACAGAAAAGTCCTAATGACTTGCGCTTTAAACGCTGCTTGATTGCCCCCCTCCCTCCCCCCCCCCCCCCCAAAAAAAAAAAAAAAATTGGCTTTGCTACTGAGATTGATTGCCATCATTTACTCAAACTGCCACTTTAATCAAAGAGTAAAAAAAAAAGTAAAAGAAAACTATTATTGGTAGGTATAAGGTTTAAAAGCGCAAACAGACAGGGACAATTGAAAATAACACAAACGACAGGGACAAGGCGCCTTGTCCCTGTCGTTTGTGTTATTTTCTATTGTACCTGTCTGTTTGCGCTTTTAAACCTTATACCTACCATGGACCAACTAGCACAAACCAAAGTTTTAATGAGTACTATTATTGGCGACGAGATGTTTTGGTGGCACCACCTAGCGGGCGCCCTCCTGTGTCGGAGCTGGCAGGATGCGAGCAGGCGAGGCGGAGCGGCTATGTTAGTTCGCATCTATGCCGATTAAAAACAGGTTATTTATTAAAGAAACGTCTAGGACGTTTTCGTGTGCGATCTTTCTAATGAATATTAGTGCCTCAAGGTTGCTTTCTATATTAAAAAAAAAAAAAAAAAACTTTAAAATGTTTAAAAACAAGTCCGGAACCTCACATTACAGCTTGAGCGGCGTGCGTTAGGGCTATTCACAACCTCTCTAATTCCCTTTTTTTTAATGATTTGTCGAGGTTGGTAGAAAAAGGTTTTGCATTAACCAGAGTAAATGACGTGCTGTCTTCTTAGCTGTTTCCGCAAGCGCCGCGCACTTGTTGTTTTAGTTACATTGAGCTTGTTCGATAACAACGCTTCTATCCAAGTGTGCCTCGACAGTTGCTGTCGAGCAAATAAATGTTCGTCAGCAACTGATGCTTAGCTCTTCCCGCATTGAATATTTGGCAAAAAAAGTTTGTCCCATGGCGATTCCTGCTCGAAAGAAAACCAGAAATTTTCATAAATTCTTAAATAGTCGTACATGTCCCCTGCAAATTCAGGCGATTGATTAATTTGTTTCATTAAATTTTTACTAAGACTTGTTTACAAATTTAAAATTACTCGCTGAGAAGCGCATCACGCATTATGCGCAATTGGGTCCGGAAAATTTAATACAAGCGGTAGTTATTCATAGAAAGTCCACTCCTAATTTTTTGGGACACTGATCGCGAGGGGGTCTCGCACGTTTCGTGTCGACCGGGTGAATAAGCAGGGATTTATATTGAAACGACTCCGGAAGACAGCGGCCACATGTTCCTGCCATTTATCCTGAGGAAATGTTTATTTACTGGGTTACAAAGTTAAAAGAAAGAAATAACTTGGAACTAATAAGAAACAAGCACTCAAAAAACACGTTGGAATCAACAGGGTACACAGAGTCGCTTTCACTGAAGTGATTACTATACGAGAGGTTCTCGACTTTCGCTTTCCTATTTTAAATTTGATGAGGCATCTCTTTCTCAGTTTTATTTTGTCTAAATTACAATACTCATAATAATAATAAAGCTTCATTTGCGGTGGTATATGTTGCAGTAAGGTAAAGCGCTTGATATTCTACAGGTGAAACAAGGAGACGCCAGGCTCTTTAAATCGACCGGAAAATTCGGTTTCTTAACCTATCGCGCTACGACTTTGTGCAGCATTGCCCACAGATGGTGCTTTTTTTTTTTTTTTTTTTTTTTTTTTTTTTTTGTAAAATTTTTGAGGAGCGAATTTACCCGAGGAAAAAGTAAAGAATGAAAAAGGCTTAGCTCCTATGGAAACGCAGCGACGCCACCGGTCTGCAAACAACACGGCGCCGTTTCGCACGGGAGACAAGAGATGGCGCAACAAACGCCGCCAACGAACGAGCATACGGCGCCGAGAGCAGGCCTTTTTAGCAGACGATCTTTTCGACTCATAAGCAGCGCGCGTTCCGCAGGCGGCGACAGTCGCTGAAACAAAAAAGACAGGCGCGGTAACAGCAGGTAACAGCAAGGAACTGCAGTTCCTTGTCTGAAAAAGGGCCGGCTCTCTGCGTCGTCTGCTCGTTCGTTGGCGGCAGTTGGCGTCGCGACCGCTTGCGCCATCTCTATTCTCCCGTGCGAAACGGCGCCGTGTTGCTTGCAGACCGGTGGCGTCGCTGCGTTTCCATAGGAGCTAACTAAGCCTTTTTCTTTCTTTACTTTTTCCTCAGGTAAATTCGCTCTTCGCAAATTTTGCAAAAAAAAAATAATAATAATAATGCCCCATCTGTGGGCAACGCTGCACAAAGTCGTAGCGCGATAGGTTCAGAAACCGAATTTTCCGGTTGATTTAAAGAGCCTGGCGTCTCCTTGTTTCACCCTGTATTTTCATAATCCAGCTTTTTGTACTGGGGTAGAGACAGAACAGCGCACCACCAACCGAGTGCTTCGATACCTCAGCGCAAAAAGTGTTTGTTCGAAAGACTACGCGTGCAACGGTTTCAAGCTTTGTTAAAATGTCCTACTACAAATATCACTTCACCAAATAAACAACCGCGCGTTACCCAAACAGCGCACGAAGTGAGCTAACGAGCCGAGGGATTCAATTGATCTGCGCGGTTTGTCCCGGTCTGTCCTACCCGTGACGTCACAAACAATGATGATGATAGCTAGAGAAACGCCCCCTGTAAAGTCAATAGAGGGGCAAGTTCGGCAGTTTTCTAGACCCTGCAGCGAGCACCAAGTTACCAAAACTTCTTCCTTGATGTATGGCTAGTTGTATAGACATCTATGCAATCAACTTTTTGTTGAATGGCTTTAATTACTGTAGTTCGTTTGAACCATCAAAGGTCAGTTATTTGAATCCTTTGAATCTAATGTGTTGAAAGCAGTGAGAGTGTGCAGGCGAGCTGGTAATTAATTGACATCTTGTAAACCCCGAGATGGGAACGATAAAAAAAACGGACGAACACAACAAAAACTCTTGAGATTTTGTTGTCTTCGTCCGTTTTTTTATCGTTCCCCATCTCAGGGTTTACAAGATGTCAACTAATGTGTTCGCCACTTTTCACTTTGGCACTCCAGCGGCTCCCGTCATCCACGGTGAGCCATGGTGATCGCCATCATCATTACGCCGATTTCGGCGCCTCCTTTCGTGCTTTCGGTGCGTTGATCGCTCCCCTTCTCCGATTTTCTGCAGTCTTCACTCGTGCATTCGGCGCTTGTGGGTCTACGTGTGTCTTGCCCCGGCTCCTTGGTTATCGTTGGCGCAACTCGTCGGCAGCAAGTTTCCCAAGTAAGTGACAGCACGTCACGAACACGCCCTCTGACACTGCTGACCTTGACCAACTTGACTCACTCGATAACGTAGACACTACAGTAAGCTTTGCGACTTTCCTTGTCAATTTTGATTGAGGCGGGAAAGCAACTTTTTCTCGTCCCGACTTGACGGGCTCTTTGTTTTTAGGTGCCATTATTGTGGCTTAACTTCGAGATTGCCGTTACTGGGAAGTGTCGTCCTCGCACCCAACGATTTTGCGAACCGGAAGGGTTTCGCTAAGTGGCTACTGACAAGCTATTGCTTGTGTGTCGAAACCTGTTTGAGCAATATCTTGCCTTCTCCGACCGCTCGCAGAACCGCCTGTTCTTTTCGTTTTTCTCACCTCGTTTGGAAATTAGGGTCAGGTGGTCAGCGGGCGCCACTTAGGACAGTGACATTTAGAGCTCTCGTAAGACGGCCTCCCGACTGCTTTCAGGTTACGACAAGCGGCGAGCCATGACCGGAGGCGCTCAAGACATGGCCCAGTACCGAGTCATCGGGGTCATGAGTGGCAGCTCTCTCGACGGCCTGGACATCATTTACGCGGTCTTCAACGTACAGCCCGACAACACGTGGAAGTTCAGCATTGAGCACACGCAGTGTCAGCCTTACAAGACGTACTGGCTCGACAAGCTGAGGCACGTCGCCGCCATGAACGCGCTCGAGTACCAACTGGTCCACACAGAGTATGGCCGCGCCCTGGGCGACCACGTCAACAACTTCATACGCGAGAAAAAACTGACTAACAAGATCGATCTCGTGGCATGCCACGGCCACACCGTCTTTCATCTTCCAATGCAGATGACCACCACACAGCTGGGAGACGGTGCGACCGTTGCAGCTGTTACCGGTCTTCCGACAGTCAGCGACTTCCGTTCCGTAGACGTTGCACTGATGGGTCAGGGCTCGCCCTTCTCCATAGCTGCGGAGCGCAGGCTCTTTGGCACAGAGTACCAGTTCTTCCTCAACATCGGTGGGATGGCTTGCCTCACCTACGTCGGCAAAGGGAACGATGACAGCTTCGCTGCAGACGTATGCCCTGCAAATCAACTGCTCAACCTCCTAGCCCAACGGGAATCCAAGAACTATGACAACGAGGGTGAGATGGCATCTTCGGGGTCCATCAACTGTCGTCTGCTTCAGGACCTGGATGGTTTTGACTACTACAAGGCCTCGTTTCCGAAGTCGTTGGGCGTAGACTTTGGACCCGAGATCCTGTATCCCCTCATCCGGGCCCGGGACCTGACCACGTGCGATGCCCTGAGGACGTTCACTGAACACATCTGCAACCAGGTGGCTACGATTGTGGAGCTGGTCAAGGAGCGTGTTGGCAGAGACAACTGGCCCAAGGAATGCAAGATGCTCGTCACGGGCGGCGGCGCCCGCAACACCTTCCTTGTCCAGCGTCTGTCTGAAGCCCTCAAGGCTCACGGCATCCTGGTGGTCGTACCCACGGATGAGCTGGTCAAGTTCAAGGAGGCCCTCATGACTGCTGCCCTCGCAGTGCTCAGGGTCAGGGGAGAGGCAAACTTCTTCAGCATGGTTTCCGGGTCGCAGCGTGATTCTGTAGGAGGTGCCCTCTGGTGCGGGAAGGTCTGACAGATCCGAGCAGTCACACGGTTGTTTCTTCGCGAGAAGCCACTTGCTCGAATGTTTGGTCTTCAGCGATGCTTTTCCCGTATGAACAATGCTCCAACCTGCCAGTGGGGTAGGAAGTGGTTTCACTGTTGCCTTCCTCTTCCGGTGCTTGCTTGCATGTGTAGCGGAAGAGCAGTTACATCTGAGTATGTAGAACACTAATATCAGCCAAATGAACCAGTTTTTCTGCCGATGAACTATGCGCTTGTGGCCTTTTCATAGCGTGCTGCCTTTTTTCGTGCCTTCTCTTTGAGGGGGAGCTTTCCGATCGAAGTTGGCTGTGCGGTATGCCAGACAAGAATGTGCATGCTGGCACTGAGCCTGCCAGTGTATGGTAAAGTTTTGCGAAGAAACAAGAGAATCTGCAATATTTTTGTAATGCCCAAGTCTATATACTCCCTTTAGTGCTTTGGGAATGTATTGTACACATTACTTTTTGATAGTAAAAACAGTTTTCTAAAAATGTATTTTTGGTTGTTTTATTTTATGGTGACTGAAAAGACTTGTCAGTGGCATGCACAAGCTGATCTGTGCTGGTTTTCTCCTAAGAGCTGGTAATCTGAAACAGGCCATGCCTCTAATGAATGAATAGTAACCAGACTACTACAGACCTTCCGCTAAGTTTCTTCTCTTCTGGATGGCAAAATTACAGCTGGAAGTGTTGAACAGGTGAAATGCAGCAGCATCACAATTTATAACTTTAGGACTTCATGAATACAGAAGAAATTCTGTACTCTTTATATCTCATTATTTTCACAATGAATTTCCCCCCCTCTTCACAGCATGCAATGACCAGCCAGTAGGCACACACAAGTTGTAATTGAGGTCTGGATATATTGCTTTTTATTGAATAGTGTAGTCATGGTAGCTTCACAACTAAACAATGACACATTGTGACCTGCCTTTGTACTCTTAAGACAACTGTAGCAGCACTATGCAGTGAAAACCAGTATAGAGATGCCCCTAGTTGTAACTTGTCCGACTAGCCTCGCGTGCTGTCGTGTGCAGCAATAGACCATTTCCTAAATCCCCAAAGTGCCCTGGCCTGCCTTTGAGGAATCGTGGATAGCGGTGTTTCTACAGTTCCCTTGCGATGAATAATTTCGACTACTTCAATACTTACAAACTTCAGAGTGAAATCCAGAGTCATCCTGAATAAGTGTAGATTCCAGAGATTTGTCGCATCACTTTTGAGATTTCTCGTCAATGTCGGTGTTTTTCGCACTGCATGTAATCCACCTTCCATCCTGGATGGGCTGCAGACATTTCTTACAATATTATCATTCTCTTCATTGTTGTTTTAGGAGGAGTTGCTTAAAAAGCCGAGAATTCACAACCAAAACCAGGATTTAGCTCGGAGTCGGCGGGGTTTTCTAGCGTTTGCGAGTAAATATTGGTGTCTTTGAAGCTCTGTGTGAACAATAATGTTGTAAGACATTTGTGCAGCTCGGCCAGGTTGAAGGGTGAATTGCATGCACAGTATCAAAAACGCCGACATTGCCGAGAAATTTTAAAAGTGGTACGACAGGTCTCTGCAATCAACACGACGCTTATTCAGGGTGACTCCAAATTCCACTCGATACTGTGTTACCAACGAACTGGTTGAAATTGCTGATCGCTATACTTTGTTTCACCTTACGATGGACCGCAAAGGACCCTACAAGCCACCGGAGACTATTCACAGCTTGAAGGGTATCGCGTGTCCTTTCGGTTGTGTGGAGCCACTTGGGGAACGTGAAGTTGTGGGACTCGCTACAAACTATGAACCGCCTCGTGTAGCTCGTACTACTGTCCATTGCAGTACGTTGTAAGGTGAAACAAAGTATACGGAACTGTAGGAACACTATTCCCGTGATTCCTCGAGTGTGGACCGGGGTGCTTGGAGATTTAGGAGACTGTCTATACGTCGTCAAATGACGTAAGATGCCGTAATGCCCCATTTTGCCATTTTTTTTAATTGGCATTTCTCATGTTGGTTTTTAAATAGCGCCTGGTCAGTTGTAACCAGCCTGCAGTAGGCAGCATGAGCTGTGTAGCGAGGAAGCACTTGCTTATGGAACTGCATTATATTTCTATGTTTTAGAGCCCGTTTTTGGCTTGAGCAATTTCGGCGTCACCATGTGCATTGCATTAGGGGAATAATGCAACCGGGCGTGACTGAGCATTGCATGATGGGAAAATTTCCCTGCTAAATTTAGTGGGAAATTTCCCCGCTAAAATTGGGAGAAACATTTCCCCACGAAATGGGAGGGGAGCAAGAGAGGAAGGGCATACCCTCCCCTCCTCCTCTTCAAGCGCTGCGCTCTAAATCGGCATTACTGAGAGTCCGAAACGTATTATTTTTTCATGTGTTTGCCAGAAAAATGCTTGGATGCAAGTTTAATTCAAGCACTGTGGGAAGCTGTTTTTTTTTCATTTGACTGTAGTCTTTATTTGATGTGGGCAAATTTGCTTTGCTACAATTGCAACAAGTACGATAATTCAGGTCCTTTGCCCCAGTCGAAACTATAAGCTGCAGTAGAACTTGTCTTGATTTGACTTCATTATCTTATCGGGTAATCCAAGCTTAAGGAGAGAAACCAGACCCATAAAAATGAGCAAGGCGAGTCGACAGGCAAGTGGTTTTCAAATGGGGGTCTGCAGATCCTTTGGGTTCCCTGAAGCTGTTGATCACTAGTCAAGTCAAGCAATAAACATAGAAATAAAACAGCGCAAACAAACACAAGGACAAGTAGAAGGAGGGACACAGACACAGCGCTGTGTCTGTGTCTGTGTTCCTCCTTCTACTTGTCCTTGTGTTTGTTTGCGCTGTTTTATTTCTATGTTTACAATGCATCACCGACTAGCCCACCTCCAAACATTATTTCAAGCAATAAAACCTTTAACATAAAACATTCTTTGGCTAGGTGTTTGGTATTTTGCGAAGCCCAGATAAAAGCATGGGCGCGAGACTCGACACCGATTGGTCGACAAGTTCAAGAGGAGTGAGGCGCTTGACGCCGATTGGTTAATGGGGAGGTCATGTGACCAGAGGGGTAGGCAAGGACCACCTGTGCGCACTGAGGGAGAGGAGCTCGAGAGTATGGAAGGCTTTGGAAGATCACCAAATTTATCAGTGCGATTACCGGTAGTATTGCTTCATTCTAGAAGCAACTATTAAGTGTACACGTGATACGCATTAAACTATCTGATCAAGAGCGCCGCGAATGTAGGCTTCTGGAAACTCGGAGTATCGCTAAACGTTTGCGATGCTATAAGGTTTCGTGTATGATACACAATTGCCTAGCAATATGCCATAGATTACTTTTTATTATTCTTGATGCTGGCAGTTGCACAGAGAGCTAAATAGACTCGACCATATGCAGTAAGTGAGTGGGGCTGATTATTCTCCACTTTAAAGTTGACTTCAATCACCCAATATGCCTTCTCCCCATCCCATCACTTCCACCGATACAGAAAGGGTCCCCGAAACATTAGTAGTAACATTATTACTAAGAACCAAAGGTGCAGAAGCCAAAGTAAAATTAAACTACAAAGTATGGTTTTATGATTTGAGCAGGAAGCAAAACCTCATAAATATTTCGTAAACTTAGAAAACGGTCTGAACAGCGGTAGAGGCTTATTACACAATGTTTCGGGAAGAGGCTTCCCACTTGAAGAAGGGAAGCCTCTTCCCAAAACGTCGTGTAATGAAGCCTCTACAGCTGTTGAAACCATTTTCTATGTTTACGACTATCTTTGTGAAGACTTGTTCATTAATACATTTAAAACATTTCTTCGCCAGACGTGCCCTGAGAAAGTACTATGACACAATATAGTAAAATCTTGTGCAAAGATAGTCTGCTATTGTCGGATGTGGGGGCACCAATGCAATACAAAGAAAGGATAACGGTGTTTCTTGGGGAACAAAAGTGGCCTCTTTTGAGAACCAGTACAGCCACGGTGTTGATGGGAATAATTAGTGACCAGAGCTTTCTGTTTTGCCGGAACAGCCAGCGTCATCTTTATTCGGGTGCAGCGTCCTTGTTGTCGAAAGCGTCTTCGTCGCTGAGGAACTTTCGCTTCCGAGCGGTGTTCATGTAGGGACGCAGGCTCCATTCCACATCCAGCGCCGCAGTAGCGTCTAGGGTTCCGAGCTTGATCTCGTACACTGCATGAGCAGCACACCACGACACTCCTTCTCACACTTCCAGCTTAGAGAACAATTTTACGGGTGTATATTTGCCTGCATGCATACAAGAATACAGAATCTGCACCAAACTGACATTTAAATGCGAAAACATTAACTGTCCCATAGAGCGAAGGCGTCGGTAACTGTGAAAAACGGCCCCTAAATTCCCAATTTCCCATTGGCTGAGCGAAACGACACCTGGAGCCATTGGCTGCACTCGTCATAGTTCCAAGGAATGCCACCCCGCAGAGAAGCTCTCCTCCTGGCGCTGTGGCCCGCGCGCCAATAGAAGGGAGAGGGTGGCGCGCATGCAGCCGCCGCTCTCTACCCCCCTCGGATCACGTGTCAGGCGTGGCCGGAGGAAGGGGGGGGACGAGGAGCGGGAAATTCCCGCCTTCTCTCTCTACGCTACTGTACGACGTGTTCTGCTCTCAGCCATGTCGCGCCGCCCGGCTGGCCTCGGCGGAAGACAGCAGGGTGCACTGCTTGTAGGAATGCTTTCGCATTCCTACACATAAGCAGTCTGAAGTGTTCTCCTGTAATTTTTTTGTTTTGAAATTGGATGCTGGGAAAATGGTTGTACAACACAGCTGCTTTGACTCATGAGTTGTGTTTTGTATATTTAGTAAATAGCGATAAACCCCAGAATTCAACCACCAAGCCAGCTGTAAAAAAATTGGGGAAAACAGAAAATCTCCTTATGGAGCTGCCCTTTAATTAAAAAAAATCCAGAGTTTCGAAAAAAAAAAAGATTGAGGTACACCTAAGCACTTCTTATTAGTTGTGAATGCGAAAGCATGTACATCAACCTTGCTGTAGATGGGTGAGCGTGTTTGTTTCTTATTTACAATAAGGAAAGAGGGACACTGCAGACAAACAGACAGGACAGGCTTTCGACTTTCGCAATTGGCATGCTGATTGGCGCTGATGGACACGCAGCGCCATGAGGTGCCGGTCATTGAAACCGACGCTGCGCGTCCGTTTCAACGACCGGCCACCCCATGGCGCTGCGTGTCCAGCGAAAAGGTGCCTGGTCGTCGCTGGCTAGCCAAAGGGATCGCATTGATGCAAAAGGTGCCGTTGGCTTTGGACGCGCGCTAATCAATGGAATCGAAGCGGTGTAAAAAAAGCCGTTTGGCTCTTTCGCTCTATAAGACCCAGTTAATGCTTTCGCATTAAAAAATATTTCTATCTGCAGCTGTTTTATTTTTCTTTTTGACCAAAACACTGCCTTAATGAACTGTCTGCAAGGCTGCCTCTTTCTTCGGAACTACGCCCTTGATCTGGTTCATTTCTCAAGTTGGTACAGGGAAGTTTTGCAAGTATTTTGGTGATGCACGTGTTCGGGAATTCCGTGGCAGTGTCCCGTTTTCTTTGATATAAGCCACAATTTGTCTGGCACCGAAAATTGACACCAAATCTCTGGTAAATAATGAAGCCCCCCCAAAAAAACGACCCCAAATTAAAAGAAAAGATAACAGGAATACATGAAATGCCAAACAAGCCTCCACCCACACTCATGAGAATTTGGGGGCTGGACGTTGACTCACACGGGATTTATATGTGCTTTGAGTTCCGGTGAATCGGTAAAGGTGGGTGCTTGCATCAAAGCAATTGCACAGGAACCCTATGAAATGAAGTGGCCACTATCGAGTTTGCAAGAAAGGTGCGATTTGTTCTGAGCTTAAAGGCCATGCAAACAATTGTCCAAGTCAGATGATCCTTTTAGCTTCCTCCTTTTTCCCAACTTTTTTTCCCAACTGCAAGGGTGAGACGGGATGGGATTGAGCCTTTCGGTGAAAAGTGAAAGGAAGTGCAAGATGTATCTCAGCCTCTAGGTAATAACCGAGCCACTGGGGTGAGTTTCGACTATTGTCTTTTTTACACCGGTCTTTGGATTGTGACTGCATTGTGGCCTCAATTGTTACATTAGCTACCTAAACAGTAATTCATAAACTCTGATAATGCAGTTTTCTGAACATCATATTTGCATTATTAGAAAATGGTTAACAACAGTTTCAGTCAGTCTCCAGACTAGATAACATGTTTATATTTAGAGAGCATGCAACCACCCTTTCTACAAATTTAAGAGCTGGGCAGAGAATATAAAGCAAGCAAGTCTGTCAGAAAAGTCTCGTGAGTTTGGGTGGACACCTGCTCAGTATTTTCTAGTTTATGAATTACCTACTCATGTTACCCACTCATGCTCATACCTATATCAACACTGTTAGCAGCTCTCTGTTGTAATGAAAGGATGAAACGCCGGAGCTTTTGAGAATGTATACTCTATACAAAACTCTGCAAGGAGTTTCAAATTCTACTAAGACTGGGACAGGCCAAGTTGAGACAGATAGTGTCCCCTCTCTCTATCCAAACTGAATCACTTCAATGCCTACAGATGCACAACGTGGTTGCAAACATGTCTCGCTATCGCCGGAGGACTCTCAAACCAGGGCCCTTCAATGTCGAACTTACGCTTCAACTCAAACCGCGGCCCAACCTCTTGGAGCTTGTAGTCCTTGCCCTCCTTCTTGAAGGTATGATGCCTGCGACAATAAAGAGACAGATACAGTCTGTTACAGAATGTGAAAATGCTATGGCAACAATCCTGGGAGAACTGATGAAGACGGAATGCTCACCGAAAAGAAATGTAGTCATCCTGGTTGGCAAACGTGATGACTCTGTGGGAGTCCTCCTTTGGGACTGGAAAGAGGTACTTGAGAATGTTTGTCACCTGAAAAGCGAAGAAGAGGGGGGAAGCAAACCATGGCAAAATTGTGTTATGTGTATGTTTAGACAGTGAGATGTTAGTCAGCATCAGTGGGCATCTGGTGTCTCAGCTGTAGATGAGGAATTGAGCAATTGCAGTACTACAGCCAGCCTTCAACAAATATCACACAGTAGTGATACACGACCGCACGCCGGTACGAAGCTCGTACAGATCGAAACAGGCAAGGGTGGGGATTAAGCTCAGGATCCCTGGATTCTGCAGTATGAGCTTTTGCTCCAAGCACTCCGAGCTGCAGTGTTAACACACTCCGCCACCGATCCCACCAAAACTGTGACACTAAATTAGTGCAATTAGCATACCGTAATATTCAGAGTCCTTGCCCACTCCCTGGTGCCTAAAATTCATTAAAAAAGCGGATACACACAAAAGGTTGCGAAAAATCTAAAACACACCCACTTTTCTGAACGTATCTTGCACAGGAGATACATTACACTCAAAACTCAAAAAAGTTTCACTGTTTTATACAAGAAATGTTCATGAAAGAATGTTTTACTACAGTGAAGTCTGTTGCTTGCATCTTCCAAACGTGCGATGAAAACTGCCAATCGGCATACAGCACAAACATTTGTTCCGTGAAAGCATGTTTCTAAAACTCCCATGTTCTCTTTGTTAGTTAAAAAAAAAGTTAATAATATAGAAAAATTAACCAGGCGTAACAAGCTAGTGTGCGGGCGAAGAAAGCGATGAAGAGAAATGCTGGGAAAGCAGGCAAGCCGGTGATTGCGTTGACAAATACTTTGGCGAAGTGCCAAATCGGATGCCTTGTCGATCACAAGGAGCAGGCTCTTGTGGAACTTTCTTGTTTGGTGCATACATGCTTGCATCTGTACGCGGCATGCTATCAACAAGGGTTGAGGCAGCGTTGCTGCTTGGCGTGGACGGCACCACGAACACGGGGCTCGAAATGAAACGCTTTACAAACATCTGTGTGCGGCGTTTTAGAAAAACTCCACCCATTGGTTTTGTCTGAAACATTGCACAAGCTTACCAACCGCGGTCACGACGTTCTGGGAGAATAATTGGGTATTTGCGCTGACCTTATTTCGGTGGAGACAGTGTTTGACCTTACACTCCGTGGTTACATTCCAGGATATGAGGCATTCGCTGAGCTTGCGATCCCTGAATGAGTTACTGCTTGTGTTATCTTTCAGATTTTTTTGTTTGTTGTTCGAACAAACTTTTTTGTAAGCAAAACAAGGTTTTATTTTGTTATCTCTGTCGTTTTCCTTTCGCTTGCATGTACTTCGACTATGGGGTGGTGTCTTTTCCTCCTTCAATTTAGTTTGTCACGGATGTCCTCCTCCGACCATAGGGTCTGCGGCCGCACGATTCGGGTAGTATGAATGTTCACGGATCGCAGAGTCCGTGTTAAGGTATTTGTAGGGGTGGGCAATCACTCTGTGTTATTTTGGAAATCAATATTTGCTCAAAAAGTGGGGCGGGTGATGCCTTAAGGTATTACGTATCTGAAGTAGTGGCACCTGTAACCAGGTTTGCATGAGCTATTCTTAAAATTTAGTTAAAGTTCCAAATGCAGTAACACCTTTTAAAGGTACAGTCGGGGACAAAAGTCCCCAGGACGCGCAAGCTGCGACTGAAACGCATTGCTCTGCCACCAGCCGGCAGGTCGCCTGGTTTCGAGATAACACCAAAGCGCATGCGCGTCCTACTGTGCCTGCAAACATGTCTGTTTTCCCGCTCTTCTGCGGCGCGGCGCCTAACTCGGAATCGGGCGCGTGGTGCCGCCTCGGAGATAGCGCTGGCGGCTGACGAGCGTCTGCTACACATTCCAAAACTGAAGATACCGCCTGCGTCATTGTGCCACATTTCACCGTGTCAGCGCACTTTGCTTTATTACCATAACCAGTTGAGCTGCCGTGACTTCTTCCTTTATAGGTGCCATGTCAGTAAGCGCGCCCGTGCCCTAATAATCACAATATAGAGAAAAACGTAAAATCACTGCATATTAAAAACCAGACTCACTATTGGCCAGCATATGCAGTATACGTATAGTAGCATGTTCGTCGATCGGGACCCAGTCTTTAATAAAGATGTCTCCTTCGGTTCCTATCGAGGGACGGCGTTTAATCGCACGTCTTTTTATTGAGGAAGTTCCGCAAAGGGAGATTGCTCGACGCACTGGTCGTTCGAGATGGACTGTGATCCGCGTGATTAAGGCCTTCCGTGACGATGGTGGTCGACTTGTGGACGCTCCTCGCTACGGCCGGCCCAGGGCCACAGATGAAGAAGAAGACCGGCTGATTGTTGCCGCAGCTGTTACGGACCATTTTCTGACCGCAAGAGAAATCCGACAGGAACTTTCCCTGAGCCTCTCCAGTAAGACTATCTGAAGGCGACTGGTGGAAGCAGGGATGAAAAACTGCATGGCTGCTCAAAAGCCCTACCTCACGGATGCACAGTGCCGGGCGAGACTCTCTTTTGTGAGCGCTCTGGAGCACTAGACGGTAATGGAGTGGTTCAAAGTAATATTCACTAACGAGTCCACTTTTTCAACAAGGTGGGACCAAAAGCGGCGCGTTTGGCGGCCAATGAATTGCAGGTAAAAATAATGCGCATCGAAACTCCCGACAGAAAAGGTGTTCCTTTAAAACGACAAATGAGAAACATTAGTGTACAATATTTATATTAATTAAAACGAAATATCTACTGTGTATACTCCACCTGTAACTCTTCTAATAAATATAAAACTAAAGAAAGGTCTGAGCTCAAAAACGACAGCGGAATGTCTTATTTGTCATCTGCATAGTTGCAGAACGAGTATCAGTGGTGTCGATTGGGGCGGCTTCTTTAGTTCTAGCAAGGGTTCTGGCATTCTAATGAAGAGGGTAATTTTGCTGTGTAATGACTCGTTACGGTAATGTTTTTCTAATCTGGTTAAGTTTGGCCAGAGCCTAATTTTCGCGAATTTCGCGATTTGGAAAAGAAATGCGAACAATTAATTGCCCCATCTCTCAGCGCTTATGAAACCTAGCATACCACTCTCAACCGCGATATTTGTGCCGGATCAATATTTCTGAAACCAGCGCTTTGTAGAATTCGCAAAAAATTGAGCCCGGAAAAATACACTCGTTTACAGCAATGTGTGAAACTTTCATTGAATGTAGTAGCGTAAATTACGTCTAATGAGTGTAACGAATTCGCTTGTTAGACCCAGTTGTATGTGCACCGGCTGTCCCAAATAACCATCCACTTTTCTTTTTGAAAAAAGGAGAACGCTATTTGTGAATGAAACACACCGTATGTTGTTCGCACGCGCCTTACGAGAGTGCAGTATTTTTTTGCATCCAAAATAATTATTTCATAACGACTAATTAGCTAACTGTTTAAATAATGTATTGGGGGCCGAAATGTAAATCGGAAAGCTGTCGAGCGCTTTGAGGAACACCCCGAATAGGTGTCAGCATGAAGCGTGAAACGGTTTGCCTGTTTTGCTCCTGGCCTTTGAAAAAGCCCGTGAAATATATAAAAATACCACATTGCAATGCACTCGCGCTATTACATACTCTATTTCAACTTACGCGAGCTTTTCTTCCAGGCCGAAAAATAGAGCCATGCAAACCGTATCACGTTGCGGATGTTTCTGAAGGCGCTTTTTATCATTTCACGTGACATTTAGGCTCTAACGACAATATTCAAAGAGTTAGATATTTAGTGTTACATATATGAATTAGGTTTAATTCAAAATGAATACTGGAACTCTATGCAAGAGGTTCGCGAATAACCTGGGTTGAATTCATTTCTGTATACACTCCACTTATTTTTTCTTTTCTCTTTAGGGTGCGTCATTTTGCGCGCATGATATATATATATATATATATATATAGTGACTCTTGTTGCATTTTCCTTTACAGATACCGTCCAGAATATATGCAAAGTGTGCTGTCAAGTGGCCGATGCGCAATCGCTGTGTGGGGGGGCAATAAGTAAAGAGGGTTTAGGCCCCCTCGTCAGAATCGACGGCCGGTTTAATGCCGAAGCTTACTGCGACATCATTGAGAACACGCTCGTTCCCTAAGTCCTGGACGGACGATTCCCCGACGGCTGCTTCTTCCTGCAGCAGGACCGAAGCCCCGTACACAAGGCGCGCAGAGTCAGCACGATGCTGGAATCTTCCACCATACACCAGCTTGAGTGGCCACCGAACGGTGCTGACTGCAACCCCATTGAAAAATCTGGGGCACGATGAATAAAAATCTTGTAAAACGACATCTCAGTCGCGCTTCCGCTGACTTCTTGTGGGAAGTGGTGAACGAAGAATGGAACGCACTGCGTGCACGTCCAGAGCTGGTTGCACGGCTCTATGAATCAATACCACGGCGACTACAGCAAGTGATTGCCGTTGAGGAAGATTTCACTGCCCATCAGTCGTGGCTCTCCAATAGTGATGTATTTCAAATGTCCTAACAATTATTTTTTTATGCAAATAAATTACTCGCACTTGCTTTTCTCTCCCGCCTTTATCCCTGAGCACATGCCCCGCACCTACTTTCACCAACTGGGCTCAAGGCTTTTACCAGTCGCCAGTGTGAGTGAGCCGTATTGGGGTTCCTGAGAAATGTATACATCAGTTTTAAAATGATAGCATGTAGGAAGCACCCGCTGCAAAAAAGTATCAGCCAAGTTGAATCTGAACGGGCTCGAAAGCCGGAGCGCGCTGACGCAGGCGGTATCTCCAGTTTCTGAATGTGTAGCAGACGCTCGTCAGCCGCCAGCGCTATCTCCGAGGCGGTACCACGTGCCCGATTCCGAGTTAGGTGCCGCGCCGCAGAAGAGCGGGAAAACAGACATGTCTGCGGGCACAGTAGGACGCGCATGCGCTTTGGTGTTATCTCGAAACCAGGCGGCCTGCCGGCAGATGGCAGAACAGTGCGTTTCAGTCACAGCTCGCGTGTCCGGGGGACTTTTGTCCCCGACTGTACCTAATTTACAGTTACACATATACATTGACCATGTTTCAATAACACCTCTAAGGTATCTCACGACGTCGAGGTGTGTTGCAATTGTGCTGATCAACGATTCAATCTGTAACGCTGGAAAGATATTGGCACAGTTTTGTTTCAATTCAGCATGCTGCTCAAAGCAAAAACTTGCGGCAGTGACTGCTAAAGCTCCAAATTAAAAAAAAAAAAAATAATAACTCACGAGGTTCTCAACAAAAAAAAAAAAGTTAGAGGTGAATTTTAGTGTATTTATGTCCCATGATTTTGAATATCAAGAGCGTTTGACATGAACATACCACTACACACGAGAAAAACCGAAAAACCGACCACTATGTGCGACGTCATACCCAGAGGTTTCAACTGCTTTGCGCGTGCTGCTTGTGAGGGAATGCGTGCAGCATTTTTGACTGCTCGTGTGCAGAAGGACAATGAGAACTCTGTATAATACTTCGCGATTCCCTTTTCCCACCGATTGTGCCTGAAAGGAGGGGCTGACGCTATTTTGAAAGCGCCGTCGTGGCTAGTTGGTGTATCAATCTGAAATATAATCTTAAGATTCGTTATCCTGGAGGCCAAATGAAGACGATTTAAGTGTTTTCTTGACAAATACAGAAGCACATTAATTTGTCTTTAAGACTAAATCAATGTAAAATTGTCAACATGATTCTGAAAAGTTTATAGTCATTGAACTATGTTGGGAGTTACTTCATTAAAGGGAAACTGTGGTTCTGTATTTGATGAAAAACAGATCAATTGTCTTCATTTGACCTCTATAATAACGAATATCGAGATTATTTTTCTATATGGTGCACGGAGGCCGCTGAAATTAATTTTCAAAGTACCGCTGAAGCCCCCCCTCCCGGGACGTGATGTCATATCAGTAGTTTTCGAAATTCCCTGCTCTTGCGCATCTACAGCGCCTATCAAAGTTTTGCAAGCGCACTCTTGATATTTTTAAAAAGTCAGGAGACATCACGACTGGTGTCAGTGCAGGGGAATATACCTGCCAAGCTTGCATTTGCACGTGCTGCCCAAATAAGCGACACATGCTTGACAGCCAAAATATCCTAGTGTGACGTCATGACTGGTCGGAGGTTTTTCGCTTTTTCTCGCATTCATTTGCATGTTCGGAGTAAACAAACCTGATATTCAGATTCACGGGATAAAAATACGCCAAAATTCACCTCTGCCTCGTTTTTTTTCGAGAAGTATTTCAGCTTCCAACTGGACTACAGTGACTGAAATGTCATTTAAGAAGTGTCATGTCACTCAAATTACAATCGACGACGACAACGACTTAAATACCTCCAACTAGTTATTCTACAGCTCTGCGCCCTCACCCTTTTGCCGAGCCTCGTCTTGAAGTTGTGGAAGATGAGGTGAGGGTAGGCCTCGGACATGGTGCCTATGTTGGGGATGTCGTGCCTCATCACAGTGTTGAGGATGGTGAAGTAGGCTGTGGGTCCGTACGGCAGGTGGCAAATCACTAGCCCGTCTGTTGGACAACAAAGGTTATAGTGGGGGTTTGTGCTACAGATTCTACACCAAATGTGACAGCCTTTGCATTCCCCTCGATTTATCGCGTGCAAGAAAATTGACTCCTCAGCAAAATTAGCTCGATAAAACCAGACACACGAATCCTGTGTAACAGTGTAACGAGCCTTGTAGACTGTAGTGCTTTGGCAAAATCCAATATGCACTGCAATTCTAGACACTGATTATAACGTAGACTAAATATGTGGAACTATGGCCAACAAACTAGCATACAATAGTTAGCAGACAAAGCGGCGTCAGTAATTAAGTTGATACCCATCGGTTTTTCACTCCAAAGCTTTGAGGCGCTAGTTCAAATGCGAGTTAATGTCTCTTTCAGATGCCGATGAGAATGTTTATGAGCATCTGGACCAGTTTATGCTTCTTCTTAAAACAATTTAAAGCATAAAATTTTGATACCAAGTGGCGCATGGATGAATATTGTGAACAATGCGAGATGAAAAGACCGAGCGACGACTGGAACATACCGGTGGTGCCGCCTTGATGCGGGAAGTTGAACGGGAAACGATAGATAGCACAATATTGCAGTGGACATAGTACTTCTATCTGACTCAATGTGATAGTGCTTAAGAACTGCACACATTCGCAGTTATCGTCACTTTTGCTTGTTCATACATTTGACGAATGATTTCATCAAATGGTGCCAAGTCCACATGCCCGGATAATGGAGGCAGTGACAAGGGCAAACAGGCGGGAGCAAGGGATGAAGACCAGTCACACTGAACTGCCTCGAAACATTGAAAAGGAACAGGCTTAGTCAGATAACAGTGGCTGCCACACTCCCATCCACATGCTATCTCTTGTTCATAGTTCCACTTCTTACATTAAGGCAGTGCCACCAAAGTTTGTCGGTTGTCACTTGGTCCTTTGAACTTACATTACAAAACGAATGTACAACGTGTTTACCGGGATTTCCCCTGGTCTCATGGACGACAATAAAGTCGGTCACTTCGTTTGCCCGGCAGGCTTCTATCAGCTGCTTCATCTCGTAGCCACCCCTGTTCATCCGCTGGGCGTTGGGGAAGATCAGACGCATCTCCTGCACAGACGACAGGGGTTGCAATTACAGCTTCCATCGCCCAAGTTAGCAAGAGTGTACCTTGGCGAACTGTTTGAGCTTGGAACTGGGGTCCCTGGAAGTGGTGACGACAATCTTAGGGTCCCGCACACCCGCCCAGCGGTACTCGTCATCCTCCTGGCTCACCACGCCTTCGAAAGAAATTGACACACATAACCACTCGAAAGTTTGAGACACCCAAGTGGTCTGCACAATTTTTATAATTTGACACCTGTTGAAGATGTCACCCGGTACCACACTCACACAGTTGAGAACGCCAAAACTATAACTTTCGGTGAGTATTAAAGAAAGAAAGCCGGTTCCGATATAACGTGCAAAGTGGCATGCTAAGCATGCATAAATATTATCTCTGTAAACAGGTTCTGTGGCACAAGATAGGCATGTCGCATCAGTGGTCTGGTATGCGTAAAAAGAACAATCGCACGTTGTATTTTAGTATGCCATCTGTACATCATCTACCAGCCAACACACCACATAATGGAAGCACTGTGATAACTGGCTGCGTACTTTGTTTTCAGAATGATCACAACAGGATCGGCGTAGCACTAGTTGCAAGCAAGACATCTAGGATTTGCACTCTGTTACCTTCACCCCCTGGATCGTCCCAGTCGAGTTGCTCCTGAAGCGCGAGAGCTTCAGCCCGGAGTTCGTACGGGATAGGCCGATTCTCTGCAAAAGAAAGAGAAACGATCGCTTAATGAGTGAGTACGCTGTGGTCGATGGTGCATCGTGAACTCGTCACGCGGGCTCTCGAGCGACGAGCATTAACTAGGTTACGTCCTTACCTTCTAGAGCTTGCTTTAAACGTTCCTTTTTCTCTTCGATGGTTCTCCGCTTGTCTTCGATAGACTTTCTGTACAGATATTCTCTTCGCTCTCGGGCAAGCCGCCGCAACTGTGTAGGAAATTAAGGGGTTTAAAACTCCGATTGTATGACTGATTGATATACTCTGTTTCATACTTAGTGTGCAACGTTGTCAAAGCTACTGGCGCGAGCATGGGGCTTGACCTCGTTCATCATTTGCACGCGTTCTCGCGCAAACAAAACCATAGATGAAGCCACGCGCTCGCGCCAGTAGCTTTGACAGCGTTGCACGCTAAGTGTGAATCGGAGTATAGAGTGTGTGATAGCATGGGCGGAAGGGTGCATAAATTTTATAAAATCATACCATTCTAAAGGCTGATGACGCTTCACGTACCGAAAATCAGACACACGTGTAAGAATTTAAAATGAAACTACACATACGCACAGACACAAGCCATCCAAGTCCCCAAGTCGCAGCTCCGGATTGGCTTCTGTCGACTCTCAAATCTCTGATCGCCATATTAGGCATATTAGTAAAAACAAAGGTACATAATGTCTCATTGAGGGCTCAATATATTAGTAAGATGAAAAAAAAAACATAAGAGAAAACAGTAACTTTTACACTCTTGAAACAAGTAAGTGCTATTTTTACTTCATTTTAGGATCTGCGCATTCGAGAATGCGCAACGCCATCGCGCAGTTTCACAAAAATGGCAGCCCTTGTCTCCTCGGAGAAAGCTGGTCTCAGCTTTAAATTCACCAAAACAGTCGAAAGTAAGAAATTATTGGAGAATGACAAAACCACAGGAAATCCCGAGGAGACTGCAGAGAAAGACTACGTCCTTTCTGTGGATGGGAGCGTCGTTAAAAGGTACGTCATGGCCAGTCGTTAGACGTTCGTAACCCGTTTTTTCAGGCAGTCTATGTTTATGTGACGTAAACTGAATGATCGGCCTGTGTGCCGCTTTGCCTTCGAAACCTGCAGCCTACGTATTATATGGCGGGCTCGCTTTGATTGTCCGCCAGATATGTGTTAGCAAAGTCGCTCAAGGAATGCCGTGTTTTCTGCAGCACACTTCCCAAAGCCGAAAAGAAGCAGCTGGTTATTCCCCTGATCAAGAACAACATATGGAGAGTTCCGAAGGCACAAAAACAAGAGGAAAAGAATTCGACCGAGTCACCAAAGCTGCCCGAAAACGCGGCGGATCTCACCTTGGAGCAACAGGCGATCAAGGAAATCATAGCAGGTGTGTTCTTCAAACACAAACGTCTTTTTTTTTTTTTTTTTAAATCGTTTACAGGTTGCTGTGTCAATACGAGATCCTGGCACATTGGGAGACCTCTGATCGCGTTGTCCGCTTGCTATGCTTCCAGTCTTGAGTTTGCGCAATATTTAAAACGTAGGCTAGTTCACTTGTTTTTTTCATGCACTTACTGTAGTGTTTTCTGAGAAAGAAATGTGTGGTAGCAGTTGGTGGAACGATGTAAAGTTGTATATGTCATAAATAGGATCGCATGTTTCTGGAGTTCATTCTTGTGAATTTTGAAGGGTGTTTTTAAGAGCAAGAGTGGAAGCACTTCACGAATTGTGCCACCCTTTGCCATTCCACTTTCGCTGTGACAGCATGCTCCTAAGCCAAAGTTGTACCAAAACCTTCCAAAAAGGTGTTTAAAAATGTCGCTAAATTTTATGGTTTTGTTTACCATGTCATGTTCGTTTAGTTAATTGGGAACCAATGCAGTTGTGTAGATGTTAAAACAGGGTACTCTAATTGACCGTGTTCAAACCTCTCAACCACATTGATTGAAGCGCTAGGCGTCTTTTTCCGTTCAAGGAGATTGAACATTGTTTTGTTTTTTGACAAGAATCAGGTAAATAAATGCAGGGTTCTGTTTTAATGGAGATTTGATCTCTGAGCGTATTGCCCGATTCCCCCCCTCTACCCCCTCCCTCAATTTCGAAAATATAGGTAGCGCTCAATTCTGCATTAAGAAGTTTCGACGAATGGCCCCATGTGATTTGTTTCGCAAAAGGTAAAATAATTCTCGTGCCCTCTCGCTCTAGACATCACTGCAAACTGGAACCAAATACTTGGCCGCGATTGGCAGCATTAACCCCACATTGTCTATGACATAGCGTACCTAAATGGTACAAACAGTTGCGTGACCTATGAAGGGTTTACCCTATCGATTTACAATTAATTCTTTTTGCTGTCGGTCACGTTTGCACACTCATGACTTCTTAGGACCGTGTGCCGTGAAACTTATTAAAATCTCTTGCGACGAAAGAAGACACTGGCACCACCTATTGGGTAGCCGTGCAACATTTGGCAGTCCCGTATATTTGCCAGTTTTATCAGACATAAATGTTTTTTTTTGGCATGAACAATTTTTGTCAATGTTATAAACAACCATTTCTTGTAAGTAGTACATACATTTGACCTCGCAAATACCGCAAGAAGCTCTGCTCTAGTGAAATGCAGTTCCAGGGTCACCGCTTCAATGATGCCAGCGTGCTCGCTCGTCGTAAAAGATCTTAAAATTTTAAGGCACTCGGTTCTATGAAGTCACGAGTGTGCAAACGGGCCTTTAGTGGGCCCTCCTAAAGGCCATTTCACGCTTCTGTCGCCGACTCTGACACAACCAATTTTTAAGCCTCTCGAGAACTGCTTACGACTGGCCACGCAGCAGCAACGGCTGTCGTAAGCGGCTTAAACACCCTCCGTGTCGGAGTCGGTCGGAGTCTGTTGCACGAACCAGCCATTACAGGTCTGTACATGGGTCTACCTTCTTCTTAACAGACTCCACCCGCTGTAGCCGAACGCCTTTGCACCACGCAGTGTGATATCCTCTTTATGCCCTGCTGGAACCACTTTTTGGGATTGCATCACACCCACACCTGGACAGCTGCTTCCAACTTACTAATGGCCGCGAATTGACGTCCTCGAGGTTTTTTTTTCGTTGCATCCAGCAGTTGATGGCCACTGAGGGCACGGTCAGGCCATGCCCATGTGCAATCAAACAATCTGACTGGTCTTACCACCTTGCCAAAAAGACGACTGAACCTTGCTGGACGATCGCAACCTCATGTGAATGCACGCGATGCAGTGATTGACTGGTGCCTGTTCGGATTCGGTCCGGTCGTCTTTCCTACATGTCGTAGGTGACGTCACACACAACTGGTCAGACGTATGGTTGTGCGTGTGTATGGCCTGACCGGCCCTCAATGGTTATCACGTGTTGGGTAGTATGAGAAAACCCCTGCGAAAACGTCATTTTGCGGTCACTCATAAGCTGGAAGCAGCTGTCCAGGCTTGGGAGTGAGGCAGTCCCCCACAGTGGTTCCATCAGGCCACGGAGAGGCTGCCACACAGGTGGTACAATGGCATTCGGCTACAGGAGGTGGTTATAGAGGAGGAAAACAAATGTACAGACTCGTAAGTGACCGGTATCTGCTGCAAAAGGAGTAGATTGTATAAATAAATGTGGTATGCCCCTCATATCACATGAACTGGCACATACAAGAATCATCTGCTTCACAAACTCTGCTGCATCCACTATTGCCAGTAGTGCTGAGTGCACCACATGTGTGCTTTGCCTCGGAAAGTCAAAGAGCAGAAAGGCTACAATGGGTATGACTCGGGCAGCACAGCATTGGCTGTGCCACAGACTCCTCCTACGCACTCCGAGCACGGTGCTAATGCTGCACCGAAACAGAGGTTTGTCTTACCAACAGGGTCATCCGGTTCCCGACGTCCAGCATTTGTTTTGCGGTTTAAGCATATTCTTTAAATCAAATGCCAAAGCGTGGCCTCCCAAACCAGGTTCCCCCGACCACCCTTCTCGGTGGGGTTCCTCGGGCTCCCAAATTTCCTACTATTTTCACCCCTAGATAAAGAGGTTTTCAGGTTTAAGTGCTATTTTAGCAGACCCGAGCTCTCCATTGATATGCAACCACAGCCAAACACTTACCAGTGACAAGCATTACTTTTCACAAGGACTGTAGGAATCTTACCACATCGCCGCCCGAGTCCCGAGACCAGAAGAGGCTCCCCGGTATCGGTCAAGGATGGGCGTCCCTTAGGTAGAAAGGCTTGAGGACCCCCGCACTGGGGCTCCCGCAACGCGAATTTGACTGGCGCGTGCGTGTTTACCGCGTCCAAAAAAAGCGGTCCCTCAAATTCTGCTTGACGACGTCAAGCGGAAGTCGTACAAGTGTCACGCTGTCGCCAACAGCGATCCTGGCGATGTTGTGACAGCAGTGGTAAATCTTGCAGACGGATGATCCACTGCGGGTCGCTCGCCAGCCATGAATTGGGATGCTGCGACAACGGCAACGCCCGCATCTGCTCGTGCTTTTCGCCTGAACTCTTACGGCTGACTGCCAGGATTGCAACGTCAGACAGCATCACACTCCGGCTTTTGCAACGTCGTTCGTTGCCACTTTCGATGTGCGGGAGAAACGGGATGCTAAATGCGCCTACCCGCGCTAAGGTGTGTTTTGAAACTCTTCCTCTTTTTAGACTCGACCGGCCAGACAACACAGAGTTCTGCCACCGGAGACGGCGAGGAGTTGAACATCCCACTGCTGGTCCAGAACAAAGTTCCCGAGGGGTTCGAGACGGACGAGAAGGTGGACGTGTCCCTGCGCGCCGAGGAGCCCAGCCAGGAGGACTACGAGAGCGTGCCCATCGAGGAGTACGGCCTGGCCATGCTCAGGGGCATGGGCTGGCACCCTGGGAAGCCGATTGGTGCCCGGTGTACGGAGTGAGTGGCCTCGTTAGCTTCTTGTTCCCTTGTCCCACTTTCGTGTATGAAGCCCAGACCGGATTGGGAGTTTTTACGACCGCTTAGAAACTGCGTCCCGAGAGTTTTCTCCCTCGAGGCTCGGCACCGGTCCAACACTGCGGTTGGACACCAACCCGACAAGAAAACAATTAGTGCCATGGCTGGCATCACTCCTTTTCTTCCCTCACATTTAACACATAATTGAAACCAATGCTGAATGGTAACGCCAACGGCCACAAGAGGAGACTAGCATCAGTTCTATCCCACATTCCTGGTTGATGGAAGGCAATTGTAGACCATACAGCCATGCAGTTTGGTCGTCTGCATAGGGACAACGGCCAGACGGCCATCTAGCCCACTCTTGGTACAGCAGCAGGCCGTATTCAAAAACTGGACTCACCGAGTGATCCTGGAAGGAGATTGGCCTCTACGATTAGGTACCTGCACTCGTAATTATATGACTAGTGTTTAGCTTAGCTGCGAGGTTTTGCTCGCTAACTTTTGGCCATTTGTAGATCATAGGAAAGGTCAGGTATTCTCATTCTTTCTACTTTTCTCCGAGGCACCGTCTCTGCTCAGCTGAAATCCTCTTGTTTTCGCGGTGCGGTCAATGCTGCTTACGTCGTTCGTGTCTTTTGAGTGTTTAGGATGGAGGCATGGCGAAGATGTCTGCGTAACTGTGTAGAAGCTTTTGCTAGTAAGCTTTGTGCCACTTCAATACTCATGCTGAAAATGGGGTGTTTTCACACTTCACACTCGGTGGATGTCCAGCGACTTTACGGTATCTTGATCTCATTGGACCCTGCTCTGAACCCCAGTGATGTGATTGCTGCGCCAATTGCGCCAAACTGCGCCAAGGGGCTAACCCTGCTACATCCTGCTACATTTTGCTGAAATATGGCTAATCTGCGCCAAGCCTGCGCCGAAGGACCAATTTTGGTCGCCTTTCAGAAACGGAAGTAAACTAAGAACCGTAATTGAGTATGCGTGAGCTAGGTGGCACAAGACGCCGCCCGACACAAAGTACCCTGCATCAATTATCTATTCGGTCTTGCATGATTTTTCCCGTCGTCTTGCGTTTCGCGTTCTCGTTGTCTCGGGAATCTCGTCTCGCGCCTTTTTTTTTTCTTTTTTTTAAATTTTTTAGCGATAGACGCGGGCGTGTGCGGATGCTCCAACGTTAGTGTGCCGGGTTCCAGACAAGCCGTCATGCTGTGAAACAAAACCATGTTTTTGCGCGGCGAGAGTTACTTTGTGAGCTGAAGCTAAGGAGGTTAGAAGTACTAGGAGGGGGCACGTTGCAATATTAATGAAGCCTAGTCATAAAAAGTTTAAACGATTTTGTGCTCAGCATGACCGCAGATCTCTCAGGCGATTGGTGCGCGTGACATGTCACGTGTGAGATGGATGGTTGATTGTAGAAGGACTCCTTGCAGGCTTGCGCGCGCTCCGTCCAGTAGGTTTTATCAGATCGAAGGCTACACTGTGGTGTATTCTAGTACCCCATAGCAAGACGAAGGCTAGCTACGGTCATGTGATGTGGTCACGTTGGCATGGTAAGTGAGGAGAGTAAGGAGGAAAATGAGGAAGAGGCGAGGCGTCAAGGGAGCATGGCTTGTGGAGGCTACGCGACCGACGTCACGCCCTCTCCTACCCTTCTATTCTCCTTGGCTGAAGCCCTCGCGCGACCACAGTCGCCGTGGTCGCGCGACGTCGTGTGTTGCCGTCCCCACGTCGCTGCAGATATGGCGCTTTCTAAACTGAAACGCATCAACATTCCTGCTCTTGTTTAAATCATACGCTGCTATAAAAACCCCTCATTAACTCAATGACTGCTTGGCGAAGTTTTGATTACCTAGGTTTCTCTCGGTGGGCTTTCTTTCGAGAGGGACCCCAGTACGTGAAAAATCTACCGTGAAAGTTGATGACGAGAAGCGAGCTAAAGCAACAAAGGCAGTGTCTGCACGCTGAACCCGCACACCGCGCTTGTTTGTCTCGAGTTTAGTCGTTGCACAAAGTGCTCCAAGAACTCTTGGACCTTGATTCGCAATGTCTTGCATCGATACACTCAGGTTCTTTTTTTTTTGTGTGTTAGGCCTGTACCTCGCCTCCCGGCCTGGCAAGCACGCGCTGCTGGACTGTTTATTGTCGTATGCTGGACAGTTACATTTTGCATACTATTTTGGGAACCAGTTGGCAACGGAGCGGAGTGGCATGGTTTCGGTTTCGGTCAAACAGCCGTTGTCTCCGCTCGCGCGGCGAATCATGTCTAACTGCAAGCCTGCCGAAGTTGCCCTCACGTGCATGTGAACATGATTGCACGAAAGGCACCAACCAGCCGGGACGCTTGTAACTCATTGTTTTACGTTTGCTTACTTTTTATAAAAAATCTGCCACGTCGGGAACCAGTAAAACGACAGCAAGTGTTTTTTTTTGTTTTTTTTCTGTAATTGCTTGGCAACGCTTACAGCTTTGTATACTTGTGGGATGTCTCAGCACCAAAAATGCAAGCAGTGAGTTCTGCCCCAACACGTCACATCACAACACAACACAAAGTGGCCTTCGTTTATCCAGCACTTAAAACAAATATTTATTTTTCTAAGAATATATGCTCCAAAAGTCCCTTTTTCTGCTCTAAAACACTGTTTTGGCTGCTCCAAAAACCACTTTTGCTGCTCCAAAACACTGTCTTGGCTGCTCCAAAGGCCACATTTGCTGCTCCAAAAAGTGCTCCAAAATGGCTTAGGCCAATCACATCACTGGAACCCCGACAGGGTGGCTAAGCCCATCGAGGCAGTGCTGAGACCCAGGGGTCTGGGACTTGGAGCAGAGAGCAAGCTGAGCAAGCCTCCCCCCCTGGTGGCCAAGGAGGAAGGAGACCTGGTCCTCCGGAGAGGTGCCTACGTTCGGATTGAGCAGGGCCAGTACAAGGGCATGTATGGACAGGTACTTTGCATTTTACCGGTCGCCAGGGTCATCAACCCTAATCATCCATGAAAAATTGTATAAACTACTCATTTTTTTGTTTTTAGATCTTTGAATTTCAGTTTCTCAATGAACTCACTAATTTCCTGTAACTTGGCTTTTTTTTCATTTTTTTTTTAGTGAGAATGAAAAGAACAAGTTACCTTGGAGAAGTAATTCTGAATTAGTTAAGTTCTAACTTTTAGTAAATATTCAGCATTCATAAAAACAAAGCTTTATAATTATCAAGACTTACTTCCCAAAAAACCTGATTGTACTCTGTCCTTTTTCTTCTCTTATGTTCATGAAGCCTGTGGCCTGCAGGATCTATAGAGGAGGGGGTGGGTGAATTCTGGAACCCCTGAAACACTTGATAGTTTTACATTTTGGTGGATTTCGTAGCACCTATCTGTTGTCCTAGTATTACCGTGAGCAAAGTTAGTAAAGTCTGTGAGCCAATCAGCGGGTGAAGGGTGGAAACTAGGGAAGCTCTTCCTTCAGATCTCATCCTGTCAGTGGCAATGTTAGTAGATCTCTATATGAAAACATAACAGTATATTTTTACTGCCTGTTGTAGTAGTACAAGCATACTAAAACAGTCTTCACTACTATAGATAGGTTCTGCTGTACTGCCAGGACCATACTCAATCAGGGCACCTGTTATGGTTCTCCAATCAGATTTGGGAAAAGTTCTGCAAATAGGCACGCAGGTTGTTTTGTGCTTGCACTAGGCTTTGTGCCCCCTTGAGGCCGTATTAAGGCTACCGTGCTCCTCTGATAGTCTCGTACGTAAATCCAAGTTGAGTCCCCAATGTTGGAGTTAGTTCTGTTGACAGTAGAAACACAGGCCAGGGCTGTAGAAGTCCACTGCTCATTGCAGTTGATCGAACCAGAGGCACCTTTCTTTATGCCGAGGAAACAGGTGTGAGAGATGGACGTAGGAATATGCAAAGGAATGCACAAAGCCCAGAGGCATACATGGGGACATCAATTTTGTTTTTCCCTGTGCAGTGAAGGCTGCATCATCTTCTCACATCTTGTTTCTTTGTCTTTGCTTCTCAGGTTGAAGGACTGGATGACGACAACGGCCGTGTCATCGTGAAGCTCGCTCTCGGCGGAAGTGCGGCCACGGTCAACGAATCATTCATCACATTAGTCAGCAAAAAGGAGTATGCAAGGGATGGCAAGTTGCTGAGTAAGTACTACCACTGCCCATCATAGTAAAATGCTTGCACTTAAAAGAAAGAGTGTTCGCTACAACCGCCGACACATTGATAGAGCATTTTTGCGGGGATGCTTTTCCGTAGACAAAAGCAAGTATGACGAATACAAGCGCAAGCACGAGCCACAAGAGGAAGAGGTTCAGGAGAGGAGCGACAGAGACTCTTCCAGAAAGAAACAGAAGCTTGTCGAAAACGGCCGAGAGTCATCAAGATCGAGCAAAGACTCAAGCAAGAGACGAGAACGATCCAGGTACGACTGTTTCTTCGAAGGTACTACCGTAAAATCAAACTTAAGAGATTAATGGTGAAAAATGTGGGGTGGGGGTGATCTCTGTGGATCTGACAAATATTTTATAAAAAATTACCGTAATACTCAAAGTTAGGAGATAATTATAGAAAACCGGGGGATGGGTGCTTGCCAGGTCCAAGGGCGAAAATGTAGGAAGAGCATAGGGTCGGGTGTGCCCTTGCTTAGTCCAACCATCGAAATCAAAATGGCCATTTCGCTCGCCCGGCAAATGGCCGTTGTCAAAACGAAACTAAAAAAGTGCATAAGCAGTTTATTGAGTCAAACTAAGGTGTGGAACATTGCATGTCTAATCTTTGTCACTGAAGCCGTCAAATGACTCTTTTGAGTCTGAACAAAAAAGTAGATTGACACACTCATCGGTTAGGGCAGCGTGATCATGGGGCACCGATGGGGATCCAACGTCCGCCAGACGCTCGCATAGCTCCCCGTCCTCGGTGCCGTCGAGTGCAGTGCTGATGCTGCAGCCTTTGAAGGATTGGTGAATCACTCCCTCGGTTACTGCGGCCCACAGATTAGACAAAATCGAAAACGTCCTGCTGGGAGGGCTTTCGGAGGTGCCCTTTTGCAGTTTTTTGGTCACGCCACATATTCGCCTCGAGATCGAACCGTGTCGCCACCATGCGGCCAAAATTGGAAACGCGCGAAAGCGGGGATACCGCCGTGCGTCGTCTGCTACGGGCGCACGCTCAGAAGCATGAATCTCGACGACGCAAGCCCGTTTCGGGCTGAGCTTGACATTCCTTATTAAATGTTTTATGTTTTTGTTGCCGTTTCTTCTTACTAAAGGTTGTGTTGTATCGTTTCCCATGCGTAGAAATTCAGCAGAGCGATTATGATTAAGTCGGAAGCTTCCATAATCTTAGTGTGTTGGTTTTATAGAATCGCTGGTCCCACGTATTTTTGTTATCTCGCACAAACCATAGCTTTCATAATGCATTGAATGTTGAGTGGGTCTGTGGTCTGATTAGAAAATTAACCCGACTGATCGCTATCCCTTTAATAGACCAATCAATCAATAAATCCGTATGTTGATTTTTCGCCGGTCATATTGCGTGAAAGACGTTGAAACCACACATTTTTTACTGGATTTACTATGTCATAAATGGCATATTGCATTCCCATTCTAAACTTCACGTTGTGAGTCCTACATAAATATTAACCGCCGGGAAGCCTTTTAAAATGAAGTATTTTTTAAGTTATTATTTAAACAGTATAATCACCCTCGGTGAAATGAGAAGCACGCTGAAGTGGTTTTCCGTGCAATCCTGTGTCACAAAAGAAATAAAGACGTCAAAAATATTAAAGCAAGCATTTTTTACTCCTTGTTGACTTTCTCCACCACAAGACTCCAATTAACCGGCAAAAAAAAAATTGCAATTAAAGCATTACTTGAATAATCTGAAAGTTAATTGATGAGCTGCCCAGTCCTGATATTCAGAGGGCGGAGAGCGATTGGAAAGTCTCGTGAAGGTCGCTAGCCCTCACCAGTAAAAGAGTATCACTGCGGCCGATGCTGTCTGTGTCGTGGTGCGCGTCGTTTGTTGGGGTTGCAGATTCTACTGTGTTTGTATAGAAGATTATTTAGCCAGAGATTTATAATATTGACATCCGCGGCCCTCACCAAGAAAATTGAAGCGGGTGAACCACACTACCGAGAAAGGCATTTAATAACAGGAACATTGCTGCGTTGCTCGGTTACACCCGTTTATTACAGTCACGGCAGATATATTAGAACAGTTTGTTTTACTTTTTTCAGTTGTCCTGCCAACCGTGCAGTTTGCAGATCTTAACTAGTAGAGACACCCTGTCCTGATCGCAACGCAGTAGATTTGTTCAGACTCCGAAAAACTTACCCACACTAAGGCACAGTAAAAGGGCAGAGGAACTCAATAGCATGGTAATTTCCAATACAGCGCTAACTTATCTTCATTCTAAATATTTATATTACTGCAAAAGCTAGAAATTAAAAAAAAAAAAAGCATACAAGCTGCGATTTCACAGCTCATAGTACTAGTATTATGTTATCTGGGTTGGAATTTTTTTTTAATTGCTACGTTGATGAACCGATACATCCATTTTAAAAGAAACAAATATTTAACATAAATATTCCAGTTCAGCCGGAGATAGGCATCAGTCGTGGTGATCCATGCTTTCCAACATCTGCCTAAAGCAGACGACGCACCCACAAAAGCGATATATAAATTTAGGCCGCACGCTGGCATCACGATTCGATCTTCACTGAAGCACCGAACAGAACCGAATCCTTTTCCGCTAGAATTGTTTTCCCTAAACGCAAGAATATACGCCGTCTCGCGCGCGAACGTGGAGAGCCTATGGGGCGGCCGTTCTCCTATCCCCGCTTTGATGATGATGATAGCGCGACCGTAGCGCCACCTCTAGGTCGATCTCGAGGCCAATAGGTTTCCCAATGCCTTTCCATGAATTTTTGAAGGGTTCATTTCAATAACCTTTGGCTGGCTGAAAAATGGCAGTGCAGCCTGCAGGGACGTACACAATATGTGTGCCCAGTGCTTTAGCGAATTCCATTGCATCTGGCGCTTGATTGATCGCAAGCAACCGCCGAACATAGTTGCAATTACTGCCCTAAACTCCCCTTAGCCACTCTAAACACTCGTCCCCATTCATCCATCCATTTTCTGTAGACTTGAGACACACGTCTGCGAAAATGAAAAGATAAAACAATTATATAAATGCTTCTGCATATGGTTGCAACCAATTTAAGACCTTGGCCGTCTTACTAGGAATGTGCAGCTGCAAATAGGCTCTTGTTGGGATCCTCCCAGTCGATTCTATCAGTATCACGTTTCCCTGAAGTTTGTGTCCCGATGCACGGGCTGCAACGACTGCTGTGAAGCCCCGTCGAGAACTACCGGTGTTTGCTATGCGAATGCTGCTTTCGCCTACTACATTGTTAGTTCTGTTGGCAGGGTTATCGATCCTGACCATTGTTTGATCTATATTACAAATATAAAAATCCGTGTAGTCGCTACGAGTGCGTAAAGATGCGATTCCACTGCGGCAGGCATTCACAGCCTCTGCAAAGTCTGATGATGCCTTGTGGCTGTTGTTAGTGCACAAGTGCAGAGAGATGCTAAACCGCTTTTTCCAGCGTTTTATATATTGAAGTTCCCAAGCTCAGTGCGTCGGCGATCTTCAGTGCTTGTTCTTCCAGAAGCCGGTTACTGACCGCACACCCAGCTTTCTGTTCGCTTTCCAGAAACTCGTATAAAGAGTAGTTGACGTCTTCACTGAAGACGGGCGCTCCTTCACTCAGCTTGCGTTTGAGCCTCAATTGTCCATAGTTTTTTCGGTGTAGAAGTTCATACTTTGAGTCCCACTCGTGCAGTCTCTTGCAGTCAATTTGAAATTCCCGTAATGTCCAACTCACATTCTTTCCGTGCTTATGGTGCCACTGTACTGTTTCGACTTTCTGAGCAATCGTATAGGAGTGCATTGTCCGGACTTGAGAAGTGAAGCAAGCGAACACAAAGACCAGAGTGCAATAAACATAGAACTGATTGAACCAAGTGAACGTAATGCTAACGCCTTCTTTCCCTACGCTCCGATCACTATCTTTTTTCGGTTCTGCACCCCTCGTCCCCTTTCCCCTGCGTTGCCCCTTTCGCCCTGTGCTGTTCGCCGGTCATGAAGATAACGGCTGCCTGTGGCAACTGGGCGTTTGATGTTTCATTTGTGTGTTTTTGAATTCGCTTTAAATCAAGGAGTGGGCGCTTTAATGTATCCTTTGGTCATTTTTTAAATGTTTCAAAAGTGCGGGAGAGGTTGGGGGGGGGGGGGGGCGGGGGGGTGGACGCAAGCTTTGTACGTTAGGTAGTGTTAAAAAACGGCCTCCCCTTCCCCCTGGTACATACCATGTGAACAGAAACTGATGCCACAGACTGTTGCCATGAAAGATTTACTCTATAATACGTCAAAAAACATATACACTACAAAGGAAGATCTAGACAGGAGGAGGCGATAATACGCCCCGTCCTGTCGAGATGTTTCTTTGCATTGTCCGTGTCTTTTGGCGTCTTTTTTGGTGACGAAGAACTAACTTAGGCCATCTTAATAAAAAATTTGCTTTCGATGGTGCGATAAACACGTGGGACTTTGCTACGGTCTCTCCTGTTAAGGGAAAGGATACTGCAGAACGCATATGCAGTAGATTCATGCTTGACGGTACGATAAACTCGCAGAAACCTGCTACTAGCTCAGATGTCACGGGAACCGATATCACGTGTGCAGATCGTAGACAAAAGCACAGAAACACACTGTTAATTCGCATGTCACGGGAACAGATACCGCAGATTGCAGGTGCAGCAGATTCACGTTTCATGGTGTAATAAACACGTGGGAAACTGATATGAACTCTTGTATCATGGTAACCGATATTGCGTGCATACATCACGGACAAAAATCGCAGGAACCATCGACGAACTCGCATGCCACGGGAACGGATACCGCAGGCAAGGAAACTCGCCTGTCAAATATACCGGTGCCGCGTATTGCATGGTTGATAGCAATCCCGTTAAACATTGCCTAATCGATTTACGACTGGAATGGGGATGGAGAGGGAAGGGGATATATCAGACTTTTTGTCATAGATATTCAGACCAAAAAATGGTATGGGCGGTTTCTCGGGGGCAGGCATTGATACGGGATTTCACAGAACCGAAAGGGCTGCGCATTTTGAAGCAAGTTCTCTTCTGACAGTGTTTTGTTCTCTTCCTTCTAGGTCGCCCAAGCCGAAAGAACAGTTCTGGTTACGACCACAAATTAGGGTGCGGTTTGTAGACAAGCGGTATCAAAACGGAAGATACTACAACACAAAGGTAAGACCATCTTGAAAGTAGGTGCAGGGGTTTTGACTTGTTTTCATTTAAAACGGATTGTAATCCAAATTGAGGTAGAGATGTAGGTTGGTTCAGGGTCCTTGCAAACTTGAGCATGCTTTAACGTGATCTGGTGAGTTTAGCGTTTTACTTCTGGGTGGTTTCATTTGAAATCGAACACGCTTGTCGAAGTGGGTCTTTCGATTTTTTTTTTGAAAAAATATCTGTAATTGCCCCATTTCTGGAAAGAACAAAACTGCTTTTCAAAATTAAAAAAAAAAATATTTTGCTTCACAAAAAATTATTGAGTGGAGCAGGGTGAAAATCTGTTTTTTACACCGTGATTTTTCTACCCACTCCTGTACGCAGGTACAAATACGGGAAGCATACAAAACTCACAGTAATTTTTTGTGCTTTTTATGTCATTTAGACTATATTTTAGTTTAAAGGAAAGTACTTCTTTTGTTTTTGTTTATATAGGTAAAAAATGCCAATCCAGTGACATCTCAGAGCCTTGTAACTCATGAGTTATTATATTTGTCACTTATTAAATACTATGCGGGTGTAGCCCTATACATGAGCTATCGACGGGCATAAGTTTATTTTATTTTCACTGAATTTTTTATATAAAATTTGAAATATTGTCGAAAATGAACTCAACCAATATTTTGAACCCACTTTATCGAAAAAGGCAATTTTTTATTTCATTCAATTTTTTTTATTATTGCTGCCGATCATATCAACTTTCAATTTGTTTGATGCGATTTCCCCCTTTTTTGTTGTATCTTCTCTAGAAGTGATCGAAATCGCTCCCACGTGACAATGCGGTGACAACTTCAGAGCCTTGTAACTCATGAGTTATCATATTTGTCGCTTACCAAGTACCATGCGGGTGTAGCCCTATACATGGAATATCGACGGGCATAAGTTTAGTCTATTTTATTTTCACTGAATTTTTTATATAAGATTTGAAATATCGTCCAAAATGAAATTAACGATATTTTGAACCCACTTTATCCAAAAAGGCCATTTATTATTTCGTTCAATTTTTTTTATTATTGCTGCCGATTATATGAACTTTCAATTGGCTTGATGCGATTTCCCCCTTTCTTGTTGTATCTTCTCAAGAAGTGATCGAAATCACTCCCACGTTCTCTGGACGGCCAAACACAGTTTCCGCAGGTCGGTTTCGCCTGCAAAGACTATACTGCTTATTTGTGTGTTCAAATGCAGCGGGTAAATTCATTTCGATTGAGAACACTCGTGCTTGGCTACATTGTATTTTATTAATTTTTAATGATGGCAACTGATATTCCTTAGTCTGATATTTAGCGGTGCGGCGGATGTTCCATTATCCGATGTTTAAAGCCAGGGCACAAAGGGCGGAAAAAACGGAACGAGCTCTTCATGTAGCCAGACCGGGGTCATATACCTGCACAATCTTTGCACTAAGCTCGGTGCGACAAAGTGGAGAAACTAAAAGTCTACAGAGACATTAAGTGACTGCTTTCGCTGCCTTCTGGCATGTGGGAATCCTTGCTTTTTGGCATCAGAGATATCGATCCCCAGTCTTGAACAAAACCCAACACTTTTATTTTTAACTGCGGTTCACCGCTCGCTTGCTTTGGCTCCAGTTTTCGTTCTGTCCGCCTCGACTTACCACGCTGTTGAACTTCTCGGGTGCATCCCACCGCTGCGGTACAAAGTTCAGCTCGCCCCCGCGCTCGATCGTCTCCACAGGCAAGCCAATGCCGTTGTCAAAAAGTTCCAATACTGCGTTGCTCGTGAACTGGACTATTTAAAGCACAACAACATATTGTTTTACGAGTGCATCCTAAATATATTAGCGTTAATTAATAAAAGTGACTATTTATCGCCAGTTGGTGTTGTGCTCTGTAAAAAATTGTCTTCGCTTCATGTAAACTCAGTCCGTTTTCCTCACTTTTTTTCTGCAAACTTCTTTTGCTTTTTAAAGAGGGGCATGTGATATTACATATTTTTGACATACACGCTGACAATAAAGAACAGGCGATTACATGGTTATTTGATCGTACGCGACAAGACACATCATGGATTGGCGCCCGGTGCTGGATGCTTCCTGGGTGTAACAAAGATGGGCCTTTAGCGCGAAGGGCTGGGCGTGCTGTATGTGCCTTACAAGCTGTGTATAGCACAAACAGATACATGACACCTGGTCTGGCTACGTGAAGAGCTCGTTCCGTTTTCTCCGCCCTTTGTGTCCTGGCTTAAAACATCGGATAATGGAACATCTGCTGCACCGCTAAATATCAGACTAAGGAATGTCAGTTGCCATCATTAAAAATTAATAAAATAAATGTAGCCAAGCATGAGTGTTGTCAATCAAAATGAATTAACCGCTGCATTTGAACACACAAATAAGCAGTATAGTCTTTGCAGCGAAGGCGACCAGCGGAAACTGCGTTTGGCTGTTCTGAGAATGTGGGAGCGATTTCTATCACTTCTACAGAAGATACAACAAAAAAGGGGGAAATCGCATCAAGCAAATTGAGATTTCATGTGATCGGCAGCAATAATTAAAAAAAATTGAACGAAATAATAAATGGCCCTTTTTAAGAAGTGGGTTCAAAATATCGATAAGCGACAAATATAATAACTCATGAGTTACAAGGCTCTGAAGTTGTCACCGCATTGTCACGTGGGAGCGATTTCGATCACTTCTAGAGAAGATACAACAAAGAAAAGGGGAAATCGCATCAAGCAAATTGAAATTTCATATGATCGGCAGCAATAATAAAAAAAATTGAACGAAATAATAAATGGCCTTTTTCGAAGAAGTGGGTTCAAAATATTGGTAAGCGACAAATATAATAACTCATGAGTTACAAGGCTCTGAAGTTGTCGTCGCATTGTCACGTGGGAGCGATTTCGATCATTTCTTGAGAAGATACAACAAAAAAAGGGGGAAATCGCATCAAGCAAATTGAAATTTCATATGATCGGCAGCAATAGTAAAAAAAATTTAACGAAATAATAAATGGCCTTTTTCGAAGAAGTGGGTTCAAAATATCGGTAAGCGACAAATATAATAACTCATGAGTTACAAGGCTCTGAAGTTGTCACCGCATTGTCACGTGGGAGCGATTTCAATCACTTCTAGAGAAGATACAACAAAAAAAGGGGGAAATCGCATCAAACAAATTGAAAGTTCATATGATCGGCAGCAATAATAAAAAAATTGAACGAAATCAAAAAATGGCCTTTTTCGAAGAAGTCGGTTCAAAATATTGGTTGATTTCATTTTCGACGATATTTCAAATTTTATATAAAAAATTCAGTGAAAATAAAATAAACTAAACTTATGCCCCTCGACAGCCCATGTATACGGCTACACCCGCATAGTATTTAATAAGTGACAAATATAATAACTCATGAGTTACAAGGCTCTGAAGATGTCACCGGACTGTCAAAGAGACAATGTTTGGCATTTTTTTACTTCAATAAACAAAACTACAAAAGTATTTTCCTTTAAACTAAAAACTAGTCCAAATAACATACAAGAGCATAAAAAATTACTGTTAGTTGTGTATGCTTCCCGTATTCATATCAGCGTACAGAACTGGGTAGAAAAATCACGGAGTAAAAAACAGATTTTCACCCTGCTCCACTCAATAATTTTTTGTGAAGCGAAATATTTTTTTAAAACAATTTTGGGAAGCGGTTTTGTTCTTTCCAGAAATGGGGCCATTACATATATTAAAAAAAAAAAAATCAAAAGACCCACTCCGACAAGCATGTTCAATTTTAAATGAAACCACCCTTCTGTTTTTGTGCTAAATAAATGATGGGTTCCGCGGCACCAGTAGACAGTTTTGTGGCTTTTTATTTTTGCAATAGCTCAGATGTTAGAAAAACTCTTTGGAGCTCGCTTGCAACACCTTTGACCCTTTCAAAGCAGGTTTTTCTTACTTACTCTATTCAGTCTATTAGTCTACTTTCCAACTTCTGTTTAAGGCACATTTTTGTTAAAAACAAAACAAGCATTGGTATTGCATCCACCATTGTGCTGTCAGGGCACTGGAAGCTATGTATATGCCTGCTTTTCATCATCCAACCTCACTCTCTGCATGCGAGTGTGCGCTGAGAGTGTAATCATGTGGCACAAGACCAACGGCTGGTTGTGCTGCGAGCATATAGCTTTCACAGCCCTGTCAGCTTGGTGGTCAAAGGAATGTATAGTACCTAGATGGCGCTGGGGATTAGTGTGGGTCAATTAATCGAGATGAAATAAAGTGAAATTCAATTGGTAACAATGTGCCTTCGCTGTCGAGAAAATAGCATGTCGTCTGCTCTGCGGAGTGGCGACATTGGCAACGTCAACCGGTTTTAGGCGCAAAGCTTGGCGCCGATCGAGCGGAATGATATCTTTGCGAGGCGGCAAAAGTACTTTCACTACTTGGCACCAAACTGACAAGGGGATTAAAAAAGTGAAAGCCGTTCACAACTCCCTGTAACGCCGAATTAGAGCGCAGCTCTTGAGGAGGAGAAAGGGTACTGGGGGGGGGGGTCACGTGACGATTACAATGCCGATCATTTCATCAGTGACGTCACTGATGACGTCACCAGTGATGATGACGATGCGGGTGTCAGTAACGTCATCAGTGACGTTACTGATGACGTCATCAGTGATGATGATGATGACGATCGGGATGCCAGTGACGTCACAGATGACGATGCGGATGCCGGTGACGTCATCAGTGACGATGACGTCATCGAGGGGGGGGGGTCACGTGACCTCGGCAGGGGGAGGGGTCACGTGACCCCGGGGGGGGGGGGGGGGGGGGGGGCTCGCGCAGTGCATTATGGGACATTTCCCACAATGCACCATGCGGTTATGCCGACGGCGACGTCGACGCCGCTCAAGCCGGAAACGGGCGCCTAAGAGCTGCGCTTTAAAACTTTCTACTTTCTGTTGTGAAAACTAAGAGGATGACGGCAGGACACAATTGTAATTTTGTCTCACGAAGCCTGAATGTGCGACAATAGGACGAGGCAATCACATTGCTTACCTAATTTACCACGCTACTGCTCGCAAACTACGACACTTAATAATAGTAATAATAATGTTTATTTCCGTCAAAACACAAATGACGGAGGGAGACCGAGGAAAAAAGCTGCATCATGCAGCTTGACGGGCCCTCGGCTTCCCTTCCTTACACATGGCAGCAGTGGCACAAGTAATCCAAAAAGAAAACCAAGAGAAAAGATAACAAACAGGACAATATTACAAAAAAGCTGCGACTATATAAGAGGCGAACAAAATCGAAACACAGCAATTATTCAATTCAGCAAAAATTTAGGTTATGAGACATGACTTAACATGGACATGACAACCTTAACATGGACACCACATTTCACAGACATATAAATACTTATTTGAAGACGATGTTGCAGTAGGCATCCTTCGTTCAATAACGCCAGCAGAGTAGACCGAGTCCGATGGGGCAGCACGGTGGTGACGCCACTCGAGCGTGTGGTCAGCACAGCATGTTCACACTGCCCGCAGAAACCATCGCGAGGGAAGCTCGCACCACCACGAGTTTGTGATGCAACTTGACGAACGAAGAAGCGGCGCTAACAGACCTTCTTTCGGTCTCAACGGGCACTTCGTCTACATGCTTGGTTCGACCAAGCGCAGAAGCGTTGAACGGCCCTTGGCAGACCAGGCAAATTTCGACATCATCAAACAGAAACTACCACACACAAAAGCGAATACCGAAATAAATACCCGGAGAAACTACCGCAAGGGAAGCTCACACCACCCCGAGTTTGCGACGCAACTTGACGAACAGAGAAGCGGCTCCGACAGACCTTCCTCTGGTATCAAAGCGCACCTCATCGCAACGCTCGACTTGACCAAGCGCGGGTGTTGAACAGTCGTCGGCAGAACAGACGAATTCTCACGTCATGACATCAAAACTACCGTGCACAAAAACAAATACTGACATACATTTGCGACAGCAGGGACGTGATGCGGTGCAAAAAAATCACCGAGAGAAGCCAGCAGCTTCTCTCGGGGAAGCCGCCAACACCAGTGTTGCTGGTGTTGGCGGTTTCGGGGATGACCAGCGGCAGCAGGGAAGTGAGCTTCATGGTTAGCCACTTCCTCAATACGGACGCCTACATCACAATGCAGGGCACAAAAAAGTCGAGATATTTTAACTCCAAATACTGGTGCCGGAACACGTAAAACCGGATCAGTGACGTCATATCCGGAAGCGGGCATCTATACGTGTTCTGGCACACAAATCTGGAATACGTGCTGGTTTTGACTGTGCTTTAAACCCCAACATAAACAAGTTTGGACTTGTTCCTCATGTTTCCCCTTGCATTCTTTTTTTCCAGATGACCATCGAGGATGTGACCTCAAAAACAACCTGCATGTGCAACACGGAAGACGGAAAGATTCTCGAAGGTATGGTTCGTCGTCTAGTTAGAGAACAAGTGCGCTACAAGCAATAGACCCTTTCCAAAAGTCTGCGCCATCGCCTGTCCGCCATTGCTTGATCTCATATTCTGAGCGTGTATTGGGCACGAAGGCTGTGTCAGTGTTCGGTGTGAACTCCACACTGCTCGCATTTAAAACGAGCACTGCATCAGTGTTTGGCGAAAACTCTGGTCCAATCGCGCGCTTTGTGTTCAAGCAACGGCGACCGCCAATTTCGCTCGATGGACTTTTGGAAAGGGTTTACTGTTGTGTGGTTTTTTGAAGGGTCCAAACTGCAATGATAATTGAGTGCACGAGTGATACTTTGACTGGCACTCTTGGCCTAACACGCCTAATTTTTCCGAAATATTGTGCAGTTTTGGGTTCATACAATTCGTGGGCCTTCAGGCTCCTTTGACAGACTGCTACGACTGGTTCTCAGCGTCCTCTGCAGTGAAGTAGACAGTGCAGGCGTCTTGTCTGGAATTGTCACGCTGTAATCGGCAGTGCCGTTTATGAACCGGGGAGGGTTGGGAAGTATCGGGGAAATTTCGCCAAAACCTTGGAAGACTTTAAGGGGGGACACTACCCAGAAAAAATAAATTTCTGCAAAAACAGTTGATATTGAAAAATGCCATATTTACATCCACTAGCACCTAGACAGTATTCCCAAAAAGTTTCATTTGTTTACACTACATTGTTAATTTTTAATTAATTATTTTATGTTTACGAATGCTATACAGAAGGTAGAGGTTTGAGCCTTTTGAACGTGTTTTTCTCCATTCCACTTTTTGGCCTAGATTTCACTTTAGGAAAACTATTGTTTATTTACGGGACAAAAAGAAAGGCTCACTCATTCTTTTTCCTATCTGGAATTTAATGGGCAATGCAACTGCTGCATTGTTTTTTACTTTGTAGATGTCTTTTATAAAATATGTTAAGATTTTGTCAATGACATACAAGGCAAAAAAAAAATTATTAGATATTTCAGCATTATGTTAGCATAGAATAAATTACTTTAGGGAGATTTTGTTTTTTAACTTGCACTCTTCAGGCATTCTGCTGTGTATCTAGTGAAGAAAAATGTTGAGCATTACATTAGTTTTCTATTGATAATTTTCCTAAACAATGTCAGTGTGTTCCTGATAGAAACGCCTATAATTTATTTCACAATTTATGTACACAGATAAAACTTTTCACTGCATTCTGCCATGCAACTGCCAGCATATATTGTAAATTTAATTCATATTAAGCCATACGTTAAAAAGTTTACCCTCTTGGATAGTGCCCTCCCTTAAAAGAGAAAGCTTGTATGCTTGTGAGAAACATTTTCTGTAAAGTTAATGCAGAGCGCAAGTTTGTCTGCTTCTTCTGCAGGGGTTGTGATGGCAGAATGTCGAGCTCTGATTGGCTCCGATTGGAGGATAGGGGGTAGACCTAGAGGCAGCTTCCTTTGAGGTCTACCTACTATCCTTCAATCAGAGCCAATTAAAGCTCGGCATTCTCATGTCACCACAACCCCTGCAAAAGAAGCAGATGAACTTGCACTCTGCAGAAGCCCAAGGCACTTTTAAACTTTGTTTTCCAGTCTGTCATACCTCTTCCCATTCCAGGTTAATTTACATAGTGGCAAACATCCACTGGCTCACCTGCACTCTTGTTTTATGGTTAACAAGAAAATTACTTCGCTGGGTGCTTTTTGTGTATGCAAGCTTGAAAGACCCGACTAAAACTATTCACTGTAGCAGCAGTTCTGTCAACAAGTCAGAGTCGCGCATATATCGTTAAAAACTCCAAATATACAAATCTTTTTTTTCTCTCTTGAGCTTGGAGGAGTGTCAGATGTGCCCGGTAAGAAGTGCACTATGGTGTGTGATGAAGGAAGGTAACCTCATCCTGTACCAATCTAGTTACAGCTTTACAGCTACGTATATGAAGTTCGATGCTTAACGCTTTAGCGGCATTGCAGGCTGCAGAAACACCACTTGCACACGGCCCACGAGCCTACCGTAGAATACCGTGCATCCATCCATTCCACACTAAGTGCCCATTCCCAAATTTGTAAGATCGGAGAAAATATGCACAGTACATTTATATGTAAAATTGTTGACCGGACAGCACCCATCCCGCATTTTTTCGTGACTATCTTTAAATCTTCAGTGGGTGCTTTGCCAGTACTTTATGGTATGTTTTGCAGCCCTATGTAGAACATTTGAGACATTACCCTTCCCACATCTTTTCCCTCCAAATTCAAAGCTTTAAAAAAAAAATTTTTTTTACACCAGTCACGGGCGGTTTTATGACATGTTAGACATCTTCGTTCCCCCAAGTGAGTCTAAATAGGTCTGGAAGCTTTTGTTAAAGCAAGCCGAGGGCTTTTTACACAAAAGGAGTGCGCAGGACGACGTAGATGCTTGCGTTTTCTCCCCCTTAGTCTCACTCCTTGCTGAACCTGTTGCGACCTGCGGAAATTAGTAAATGTTCTTTGAAAAACTGAAAGCTGTGTCCTCTTCATTTTCCTTCCGTGCATCTCTCATTTATGTGTAGCCTGTTAAACAACATGCACGACATTCCAAATTAAGTTGGGGAAATTGAAAACACGATGATGTTAGGCATATCAAAGTGAGCGAGCGCAGCAATTTTTTTGGTCGAGCGGCACGATTAACCCATACGAAACGTCTCGATTTGCAGACATCAAGGCGTCGATGCTGGAGACAGTTATCCCGAGAAAAACACCGAGCTATGTTCTTGTGCTGCTGGGAAGTCGCTGTGGCCAGGTCAGTATGGGTCGTACAGGAACAACGCTTGAACCCGTGGAGAGAGTTGAGCTGACGGAGTTCGTTGTCGTTTCAGGTCGGCCTCGTGCTGAAGCGGGATAGGGACCGGTGTTGTGCAACCGTTCAGATGCTCTACGATAAGGAGGTCCTGAATTTCGACTACGACAGCATATCGGAGTATGTCGGGGATACTTCGTACCACGACTGAACATGCTTCCACTGCCCTCTGAAAAAGACATTTTGTACATAGATCCGCTCGCATTTCTGGTGTTCGGGTAATAAAAGAAAAGCACCTGTGTAACACGTCAAGAACGATTATCACCATCTGAAACTTGGCAACAATATGCCTGCTGCATCAAGTCGCCACGACTGTGAACAAGGAAGAAAATGGAACCGATCTCCAATAAATGAAAAGTCAACATTGATTGTTATCTCTTTATTGGGACATGCTTAGACCTCTGCGCACATTGAAGGGTTGCGCACAACAACTTGCCACTCTTTTCTAGCGGGTTCACCTAAGCAGAACTGCGAGTGTTTAGATCTGGAAATGGACAATGGGATAAACTACCAGAGGCACAAAAGTGTGCATGCACCTTCCACATGTTGCATAGAGAAAAGGTCGCAGGCATTTCAGCTGGCTTTCTGTGCTGCTTCAGCCTTTCCGGTGTGCTACGGAGCCCTGTGGGTCAATGTGCAGGTGCATGATGACCAGAAAAGGGTAAAGTCGTAAATCAACTAAAGGAATATCCGGCAGCAACTTGCAAGTAGGCAAGTTCATAACTTTCGTTCACATCTGTGCAGCACTTTTGTCCCTTCAAAAGATTTGCTTGCTTTATTATGATTCATACCATAGTAATGGTATGTATTGCAGTGCTTCTCCAAGAACTAGCCTTTTGATTCGGGTACCATCATGGGGTGAAATTTTTGCATTTGTGTTAAAAAAGAAAGCGTTGTGCTGTTAATAGCATTAAATTATATATGTTTGCACCTTTCACTACACCAAGATAAATTTGATGAGCACGTGTGCCTGAATGACGTTTTAGCGAACAGCGCCATTTGAGGGAATCATTTTAGCGAAAAACGGGGGCGCACGTTAACCCACTCCCCCACGCTGCGCTCACGCTGCCCCTGAATAAGGAAGGTAGGGACATCTCCCTTCTCCTCTGACGCACACACAATTTATCTTTATGTTTTGCTCTTTTACACCTGCGCGTCGACTGTAGCGCCGCCTGGATCGCTTTAAGATAGCAGATGGCTTTCCCAAGCTTGAGTCGGAGCGCAGTCAAAGGCTGAAAGACACGCACATTCATGTGCACAGGCTAAAAGCGCACTGTCACGGTCTACCAGTAGCGAAGATGATGAAAGCCTTGACGTTGCACAGTCGGCGTTATTTGATTGGCGACATAAGCTCATAGCATGCACTGCACTCCGACAGCATAGGCATTCCTTCTCCCTCCTCGTACCTCACGCACACTCTTATTGTTATATTTTGCTCTTTCGCTCTCGCGCGTCGACGGTAGCGCCGCCTGGATCGCTCCAAGATAGCAGGCGGCATTCTTCAAAGGATGTCGCTACTTTTCCGTATGAAGGGGCTTTAGCTCACGCCGCTTTGCGGCGCCTCATTACAAAAACGTTGACCCACTTGGCCAACCCGTAAACGCCGCTTCGCGGCGGCCGACTATTCGCTAGTGTCTTATGATGAAAAGTCGGCGTTCGCTAAGTCGTCGTTTGACCAACTGAGGGCCACCCTTTCCCCCAAAGCTAGGGCTTGGCGGTTGCGCCAATATATAATTTCGTGCGAGTCACTGAAAATGATTACGAAAAATAAAAGTTTACACTAGGTATGGTACACTTGCTTGTGGTTCCTCAGACTTAAACTAATGAGTGCGACAGGCGCATGACAGCAGCTCACAAACAACTCGCATAGCTTGCTTTTTGTCATCACGGGAACCAGCAAGTCGCCTTACAGCGAAATGCCGCGAAACCCTCAGACGAAGGGGGATATCATGCGCGATCTCAACCGCCCGGGGGCGGGAAATCAAGCGCCATCATTTTCGCCTTCAGCTCATCACGGGGTTGAAGTTGACAAGCAAGGTCGGGAGCTACCTCAGATTGAAAACTTTGTTTCAGCGTTGTAGGAGTGCATCGAATGCAAGGAGACAACTTCAAAGTCGAATGGTGTCCTCAACGGTGCTGACACCGACCATGCTTTCCGAGGGTGCTGCTTTGTTAGAAGACGTGCGCAAGCTGGCAAAAGTACTTTGATCTAAACTGGGTGAGGTTACTTGTGCAAATCACGATAAAACCAGTGGATAAAACCAATTGGAAATATAACCTTAAAGTCGATATTTCGAGCGAACAAAAAAAGCTCACGTCGACAAGAAAGAAACACACTCGCTCAACTGATTTGGCTTGGGTTGAATATTTGACTTGATGAGAATAAAGTCTCAGTTGTGGCTCGTTTAATAACCGTCAAAGTTATATTAAAATTATTAAAGAAATAGCATTACAAAATAGTTTGAATTTATTTTTATTTCATCTCAATAAGTATTATATGTATACGTAACAACAGAAAACCTACATTCTGTGTAATTTCGCCGATTTCACCACAAAAGTGATACAAATTTCCAGGTGGCGCTGCATCTCGCACGAGCTTTCGGAAAGTTTGGCGATTTGTGTGTGTTCATCCCGTGGCTGAAATCAACACTCTGTAAAGGTAAGAACCGTTCGTTTTTGGCCGAAATAGAACCGAAATACCTTAAACCTCATTGCCTGCAACATAGACATGTAAATGTTCTTCGCTATGCACTCTTCTCGTCGAGAACCCTCCGTGGTACCCAAGAGTTGCATGTCATCCGACGCTTCCGCGCTGGCTTTCCTGGCATCGCCGCTTTCTTGAATGCTGTGACCCTAGACATAAAGCGGGCCTTTCGATTAGAAATGAACTACGTGTCTGGTACGTCAGTCGGAGAAGGTTTGTGAGATCGTAACGAGGGGTACTATGCTGTGTAACTCTCCGAGTGTACAACAAAAACAGCACTCACCAGCCGGTCAACGCTACTTTTCCCTTGCAGATGTTTATGACACGCTCGGAGTACGATCGGGGTGTGAACACCTTTTCCCCTGAAGGCAGACTCTTCCAGGTCGAGTACGCCATCGAGGCTATTAAGGTACGTAGCCTTTGAACAGCTCGTAGCTTCAGTCGATGGGACCGGCTGCTTTGTAAAAAGAATAAAGCTCTACGCACTCCGGAGTGCACTTCGGACGGAAAGGGCTATACGCACTCCGCTAATCTCGTATAAAAAGAATGGTCACTAGCAGTTTTCTAAGCGGTGGCATAGCATAGTGGGTAAGGTGCCTGCTTTGTACGCATGTGGACACGGGTTCGATCCGCGGTGGGCCGACTTTTTTTTGTTTCGTTTTCTGGAACATTTTGTTTTGTCGAGGCATTGGGCGATATTTACATTTCTTTTTTGCGATGAACACTAAAAAAATATGTTGTCGACGAAACTTCGCAGAGCTAAATGGTATGGGACCCCTTTCCGGCGGTACGATCGAGACAGCGGGGCTTGAGTTGCCGGCTGGACGCCGCGAAGCGGCGTGTACTGGTTAAGTTTTGTAATTAGCAGCCGCATACTGTCGCCATGAAGCGGCGTGAACGCAGGTGGGGGGCTGTGTTAACGAGCTCCCCAGTGATACACGCGTCGTCCGAAAAGGGTGGCCCGAGCGGCATGAGCTTTCCGAGGAGTGCGTATAGCCATTTCCGTCCGAAGCGCACTCTGGAGTGCATATAGCTTTACTCTTGTAAAAAAGAAGCGGCCAGTTTGACTCGAGTAAACGGCAAGACTGCTCAATTGAGCGTTGCACGAAAACTCGATACCGAAAGAGTAAAGCCATACGCACTCCGGAGTGCATTTCGGACGAAATGGCTATACGCACTCCTCCGCGCAGAGCTCATGCCGCTCGGGCCACCCTTTTCGAACGGCGCGTGTATCACTGGGGAGCTCGTTAACACAGCCCCTCGCCTGCGTTCACGCCGCTTCGCGGCGACAGTATCGGCTGCTAATTACAAAACTTAACCAGCACACGTCGCTTCGCGGCGTCCAGCCGGCAATCCAAGCCCCGCTGTCTCCAATCGCAACTCCGAAAAGGGAGACCCACACCATTTAGTTCTGCGAAGTTTCGTCGACAACATCATCGCAAAAAATAAATGTCGTAAATATTGTCAATGCCTCGACAAAACAAAATGTTTGAGAAAAAAAAAAAAGAGTAGACCCACCACGGATCGAACCCGCGTCCACTTGCGTACAATGCTGACACCTTAACCCCTATGCTATGCCTTCGCTCAGAAAACTCGTGACCATTCCTTTTATACGAGTTTAGTGGAGTGCGTATAGCCATTTCGACTGAAATGCACTCCGGAGTGCGTATAGCTTTGTTCATACCGAAAAAGATATCACAGGGGCAAGATACCAATAGCTTACCTCTCTCTGTTTGTGGTTGTCTCCGTTTCCTTCTTTCTGGTGACTTGAAAGTGTATTGTGATTTGATCTCAGCTTGGCTCCACGGCGATCGGAATCCAAACTGCCGAAGGGGTCGTCCTGGCCGTGGAGAAAAGGGTGACGTCCCCCCTGATGGAGCCGACCACCATTGAGAAGATTGTGGAGATTGACAACCACATTGGTGAGTGCCTTCCATGCAGCACCATGCCACTCACCACTGCTTTTCCTCGTGTCTTACCGGTCTAATTGTTGCCTGCCTAGTCTGGTGAGCAGGCAGGAAACAGTTGCCTTCTAAAATATGTTCTCAAAGCAGTGTCAGAGGAAGGCACTGCCAAAACCGTCATTACTTTCTGATGCCTACGCAGACTGTTCATATTCATGCCAGGGTACATAAGCTTTGATCTGAGTTTGAAACTGGGCAAGGTGAAACTGTAAATGAGCTTTCCACTGCATGGGCAATTAAGTGCAGTGAGGAAGTTGGGTTTCATACATTTAGCGTCCTTCCTAACCGGATCAATGCACATACTGTGGCCATGCCAAACAGCATTAAGTTTGTTTGTGAGGAAAGCTGCATGATTTACTATGGTCCAAGCCAGCGGCGCAGACTTTCCATTTTCCCGGGAAGGGGGGGGGGGGGGGGGGGGGCAGGCTCAGAAGTTCTTCAGGGGGGGGGGGGGGGGGGGTGCTTTTCCACGCAATTTTTTTTTTTTTCTGCCGGCAATTATTGGTAGTTTATTTTAGGGGGTACATTTTACAGCGTATATATATCGCCAGGTGTCCGTCGCTGTGTGTCAGTGTCAATCATCGTGCTAGCGTAGCCGTGTGTTCCTCGCCGGTACCACAGCGCATGCGCCGGCACAAGTTTTGTGCTTCAGAAGCACAAAACTGAAAAAGAAAATGCTTGTGCCAGCTGTGAAGTTGGGGGGGGGGGGGGGGGTAGAACCCAGGCCCCTGTGCTTCTGAAGCAGGAATCCATGTAAACAGCGTCTCGGTAAGAACCATGGTTTGGGGGGGGGCTCTGCCCCCCCCTCCCCCAGATCTCACCAGGGGGGGGGCACAATCCCCAATGCCCCCCCCCCCCCCCCCCCCCGTAGTCTATGCCTATGGTCCAAGCATACTGTCAAGCCTAAACAGATGCCTGCTGTTGAGTTACACAACTTTCAGACTTATTCGGGAAATATAAAACATAGATAATTAACCATATTGTGGAAACCCGAGACCAAGGAACGAAAAGGAGACACCACATCCAAAAGGAGGCCTTTGCGTGCATCGTCTCTTTTTTTATTCCTCGGTTTGGGTTTTCACAATGTTGAAAGTTAGTATTTCAGTTGGATGCTTGCTGTCATATAGTATGATGTTTCTGTCATGTTGAATATAATGGTTTAGAGTAGACTTGGCCATTGGGGTTCATTGGCGTGTAACTAAAAAGCCTATTTACACAGTAGCGTTTGACTGTTTTGGTAACCTGCATTTTGTAATGCCCACAAGTTACCAGTGCATTTATGTTTTGTATGAAGCATCAAATGCTACTTATGAAGCACATATGTTTCAGCATGGGAAGGCTTACCAATAGGCAAGATAAGCAGATTTAGGAAGGCACAAGTTTTGGAGGATGGCCAGTGTGATGCCAACCTTTTTAAAGTTAACCACAGCATGAAGAAAGCAGGACTCACTGTAAAACTTTCATCAACAGCAGACTGCAGAAATATGTGAACATATTGGCTTCTGATGGCCTGGTGGGAGGGGGAGGGGGGGGAGGTGAAGGTGAGGGTGAGGTGGCAACACTTTTAAAGATTGCCTAGTATGGCCAGATACTAAGTCCGCCCCTGCGTCCTGGCAATTAGCAGTTGTATCTCTACTTACCTCTATCCACTTAGTAGCAAATACTACTGTGTGAGGTGGCGTTAACATCTACTGATGTGTTGTATTTACAGGGACCATTAAATGACCTTTTTGCTTTTGCCAAATAACTTTTACATTAAACCTTCAATGTTCACTGAACGCCAAGCAGGCATCTGTTTTCGTCTCGGTTTATTAACTTCTACACGAGAAATTATTGAAATATCAAGGTTTTCTTCCTCTCCAACTCAGCGCAAAACAAGCCGAGGCGTAATTTTGGCGGTCATGACGTACTATGGCACCGAGCAGTAGGTAACCGCTTTGGGAACAATCTTTTACAGCCGATTTTGTGAACCGCTGGGCCTCTAGACAATCGCAACTCGATGGTTACGTGACGCTCGGCAGAGAAATATTGGACCGGCATCGAGTTGCTCCCAAAAACTGCTCTAACTTGACATGTGTTGGCGTACCATCATGTCGGAATAAAATTGACATCTAAAAAACGTGTACGGATCTCTTCTTATGTTTTGTTTGTTTTATGAATAAGCTCTGTTACCTGTTGTGGGCAACGAAGACAAGGCAGACGGGTCGTACAAATACGACTCTAGGGCAAATTGCTTCTCGGCCATCATGGTCACTGGTGATGTAGCGGTGTGGCGGCGTCTTTGTCTGCACTCGTCGCGTTGGTCCGCGACCGTTCACTCGAGGCCGCTCCGCCGGCTCCGCAATATGCTACGGCCCCCGGGTACTTCGACTAAGCGAGATTGTAACACGTTGACGCCTCCAAGTTGCAAGACTCATAACTACGGTACGCTTGGCTCTCCGAGGCATGATGATGTCAAGACTGCGCCAGATCAGCCGGATCTCCCGAGATGCATCGCGCTCTTCGATGGCTGATTTTGAAGCTCTCGCCAAAATCCAGGCATTTAAAATGAAAAATATAGCCATTTGCTTAAAATATAACTATGCGATTATCAATTACAGGTTTATCTGATCCTGTTTGGACTTACCTCTAGATGTTTTCTGTATATTTTAAGTTTCAATTCAGTATCCCCTTAAATGGACTTTTTTGTTTGTGGAAGCATGCGGCTTGGAAGGAAAACTTGGTTATTTAATTCTTCAAAGTCTAATGCTTGTAGTAGTTTTGTGGCACCAACCCTTGCAGTTGAAACTGCTTGAAAACTTTGAAAGCTCTTTGTGCAAATTTATGTCTCCTTCCTTGTTTGTTTTGAAGGCTGTGCTGTCAGTGGTCTCATGGCAGACTCAAGGACAATGGTGGACAGGGCACGAGTTGAAGCCCAGGTGAGTAGAAAATGTGGCTAGTAGAACAGGAGTTCCTATTAGTGTTGTACATGTTCCTCTAAAACAGGAATGAATGCTCATTTCTCGTCATTCTTTCTTAATCTTGGAATGAGCTCCCGCCACAAGTTCTATTGGTGCCAAAAAAATGCGCTCCAGTTATATTCCTATGATAAGAATGTGCCACTCATCTATGTTACATTTGCATATTTTAATTAAAATATTGCCCTAAATAATTTGTATGTGAAATAAAAAAGAAAGTAAAAATATCCACATTAAAGGACATACAAGAATTTATATATTGCCTATAGCAGGTTACTGGGAGAGAAGGCACATTGGATTTCAATGAGGTTTTCTGCTTCAGAATCCGGGGGACCTTTCGTAAGTGGAAGAAGTATTGAACTACTGTAGTGATATTTTTTCTGCAATCTCGGGGCTTGCCTAGCATTAATGCAACACATTTGGCGCTTTCCACTTCAGTCTTCGAGTAACACAAAGTATGATCAGACATTACAAGAAGCACCTTGTCCTTAAAGGCTTACTGAGCCGAAATTTCGAGCTCACAAAACAGGGCTGGAGCGATAGGCGGGACCCTGCAGAACCCAAAGACAGCACTCGTACAGCGATATCTCTAACGGATGGCCGTCTTTTTGGAAAAGAAGTCCACGATTGAACACAGCCGACAAGGGCGACGAGACAACTCACATCGCAATTCTCATTCTCTCTCCTCCTGGCTTCGTCCTGTCGAGCTGGTGAACCGAAGCGAGGAGGAGAGAAGCAACGCCACGTCCCCTCATTCTCGACTGTTCCAGGAGGATCGCGACGTCAGAGTCCTCGCTTGATGGCGCCCTTTTCCAAAAATACGGCCATCTGTTCGAGTTATCGATGTATGAGTGAGGTTTTGGAGTTAGTAGCGTCCCATTCAATGCTTCTGCGGACTTATTCCGCGAAATCCAAATTTTGGTTCAGTATTCCTATAAAGGGCCACTGACAACCCTAAGATTAATACTTTTTGTACCGTCTCAAACGCTTCAAAAGCGCGTGGCAAAACACACACACAAAATATCATAGCAAAGCAAAATTTCTGGTGCGTGAAAGAGCTTTTCAAAGTTTGTGTTCTCCCTCCAGATTTGATCTCCTCGCTTCTTTTTTTGATGACGTAGTTGGTGAAGGTAATTTTGAAAACGTCGAGAGGTGCTGCAAGTTGCATATTTGTAATAAATAATATTGTCATTCCTAAGATATGTTATTTATGACGACTCTAAAGGCACTACACCGCCAAGTTTGAGAAACAAAAATCAGACCAGAAAGGTTAACGACGAAACATTGGTTGTCGTCTAGCTTTTTCTTCATGCTCTCAAAATAGTGTGGTACCGGAATGTTCGTCGGAACGACAGCACATTTCAGTCGAGGTCGGAATCCAGCTCCTGACGATTTGGATACATTGACATTTTTCTTACAGTCCTCTACAACAAAGTGGCGAGAACAGATCAGTGGGTATGAGACTGGCACGCGCAGCTGTTATTCGAAGCCTACCACGCATAACGTTGCACATCATCTTTTGCAAAAACTGCGTAGCATGGCACTTTTAGATCTGGTGGGACGAAACTTTACGCAGCACCTTTGCGACATCACCTCTTTTGTCGCTCATCGAGGTCTGCTACATGTCGTACTCTTCCTTACCTTCTTAAAAATCGTTTTAGACCAACCAACAAAAAAAATGAGGAACTGAAAAGTGATGTGTCGGCTACACGCGAAAGAAGGTCTCGCGAAATACTCTTGCTGTTGGTTGGGCGGCACATGCCCACGAATGATGAGAGGGAAAGAGGGAAAGTTAAATGACACTTCCCAGTTGAAGTCATTCAAAAAGGCAGGGAGCACAACATTTCACTAACTATGTCGTAGATTCGGGTGGGCATTTCAAATCCAGCTTTCTGAAAATATTTTTTTTCTCTGCAGATGCACTTCTCAAACTTAATATTCCTGGGGTGGCTCCTGGGAATCACTTTAGGTCATCTGCAATAATAAAGAAAGATATATTGTGGTTGTCAGTGGCCCTTAATTTGTGGTAAATTCTGCTCGGATGGGTCTCCTTTGTTGCAAAAAGCGGAACATGCTAGCCATTGTAGAAATCTCGTGATGACGGTTCTCACTTAGTTGGAACGTGCGTCGCTGAGGTGCGTGGCAATTGAGTTCTCTGTGCCTTTTTTCTTTGTCAGCCCGAAGGAACCGCTGGTGCCTGGCACAAGTTTGGTGCCGCACTGCTAGCATTAAGCCTTAATTTGCAGTCTCTCTGAATAGCTTTCTTCTATTGCGATTGCCGTTACTACAAACACATCACTTCAACTTTTCTATTCGTTGTCCATAGAGAATATTACATAGAAACAAAAAGAGCGGAGTCTGCAAGCACGCTGTACACAAACTATGAGAAGCAATTAGACCCAAAGCTTTAGGAATCTCTTTCATACCTGGAGGTAGGAAAGAGTTTTTCATTGCAGAAAATGATGATCAACTCGCCAGCATCACTGTTACAAAAATTGAAGTTACATTCTTGTACCCAGACTCGCATCAACCAACAACTTTAAAAGCGAACACTTAGCTCTAGTATGTATAAGTTCAAAGACAATTTCTTAAAATTCATGCTCCGTGCCCTTCTGTTTAAAACAAAAACACTATTGGAGAACTTCAGCTGAATGAGCGATATACGGGTCAGGGTAACTCTTACAAAATAAAATACACTGTGTAAACTGAGTTCGATATACAAGCGATTACAAGCATATGTACAGTTAAAGTTCTCATTCGTTGTTCACGGAGGCATCGTTGCAGTCATGCCCGTTCCGGCTCCATCCCTTTGACCATTTCTTCTATACTTTTTCATTCTGAGAAGACGGTGTTTGTGCCCCAGGGGCACGAAATAGTCTTCTCATTCTCACATGCAAGCTCGAAATTCAAAGGGGCAGCTGCGGTTTCTTCTAGATTTTTGTGTCTCATGATTTGTGGAAATCTGGACACTTGGCTGGGGTATGGCAGATCCGCGAGGAGCAGTACCAGGGTCAATGCTTGAGACGCAAGTTGCGTGGGAGGAACACCATAATGGTCACCGACAAGGTGAGAACGGCAGGAAGGAGTGTCGGTAGTCCCGCTTCCGCCGCGAGCTTTCCTCCTTCGACAAAGCTTCAATGTCTCATGCACCTCAAATGTGTGTAGCCAGAGGATGGCAGAAGTCACGGAGCGCGTACCGCAGTCGAGGCGTTCAAAAGACGTGCCCTGCCATTTTTATTCTGTCGGTGACCAAAAAACGGCCGCGGCGACGTCGGCCGCTGAACCTTGGGCTCCACAAATAAATGGCTCTCCATCGCGGGTCAGGCCCTTTCTTGGGACGAGCAGCGGGCAAGGACTCCACGGACACCGTTTGTTCTTCCCGTCTGCTGCAGAACCACTGGTTCCTGTACAACGAGAAGATGCAGGTGGAGAGTGTGGCCCAGGCCGTGTCCAACTTGGCCATCCAGTTTGGCGACAGCGACGACGACGGCAACGCCATGAGCCGTCCCTTCGGAGTGGCCATCCTGTTTGCCGGCATTGACCCCAAGGGCCCTCAGCTGTGAGTACTTTTCATCGGGATTTGACCGTTTGAAAGACGAGAAACGGCGTGTGCATACTTCGTCGCGGAGCTGAGGGCTTGAAAGGAAAAACGCGGTGCATTGGTTTGAAAAGTCCCAAATGGTAAGAGTGAAGCCGGGACGACGAAGAAATCGTGGCGTGCTTGCGAGTTAAGAATAGAATCTTCATTGTAGGGACAATAAGGTGTGCAAAGCTGAGGTTCGTTTCATGTTCGTATGCTAAATTTTGCGGCTTAGCCATCTCGGTGGTTCTGAGGCTAAGATCAATCCACAGACTCCCAGTCAGCCGACTGGGTCAAGTCCCAGCCGAGGTTGCTTGCAATCCAGCAAAGGCTCGTTAGGGAGCAGGTGTCGTGTAACTGAGATTTCGGTTACACGTTACAGGTTGCTGATTTGTCAGAATTAATCTTCACTCCTTTGCTGGACTGTCAGAATTGTTCCCCATTTGTTTTGCAGGCGCTAAACTTCTCAAGAATAATTCACTCGTATTTTCTCGGCTATGTTGCGATGGAACGTGCTCACTTTTTTTTTTGTCTTTAAATCTTGTTTAGAAAGTTTCGAAACTTGGTATTTTCTAATGTCACTGCACGTGTTTGATGTTCTGGCCCATTTGCTGCCGAGTATGCATTGTTTTCTGCAGCATCTCAAGTGTATGTTGGCTAGTTGTCCTCATATTTTGTGCAATAATCTGGTGTCTATTTTTTTTTTGCTTTGAATCAATACTTTCAAAATATGTTGAAAATTCTCCAGTTCTCAAGTAACGAAGTTAGAGTTGGTAACAAGAGAACAGTGCTGCATAATAAATTACATTACAAAGTTCATGAGCTATTACTACTTTAAATAAAGCACATGACTTTCCTGTAATAATATTGAATGAAAGCTTTTATCATTTTCATTGTGCTACTTGGAGGAAACCCAATTAAAAATTATATGAGTACTGTGCCAGTATGGAGGACCATGCAAATATTTTTTTGTTTTTTAAACTACTGAGGAATATAATTCTCTGTCCCAAAAAATTAATTTTGCTACAAATTAAAAAAAAAAAATCAGTGTTATTTGTTTTTTGCAATAATGAAGGGGCTTCATGAACAAAGGAATGAATATTCTGTATTTAATAAAGCTCCTACAACTTCATACAAAGAAGCTCTGGTGTGCGAGGGATTTAATCACACCCTGGAAAACTCTGTAAATTCTGAGTGTTTAATTTTTCTGCCATGCATATGTAAATGCTTCTACCTTTTGAAGGGTGATCCATACACGATCTAAAGATGAAGTTAACCTACCCATCTGCAGTAGTTGTGGTGTGTTGCAACACTCCCCTATTATCACCGATGGTCCCACACACACATTCAATTTCGGAATTCAGTCGGGGCTGAAAAGCTGGATAATTTGTGAAACTAAAATGCATCAATATGAAGAAATGCACCAGTGAAGGTAACCATGTCTATGGTTACCTTCATTAGTAATTAGTAATCAACTAATGAAGGTAACATTGCAGGTACCACATGGACCCGTCTGGCACCTACGTCCAGTACGATGCCAAGGCGATCGGTTCGGGCTCAGAGGGCGCACAGCAGGCACTTCAAGAAAAGTATCACAAGGTAAAGTATTCCTCTGCCATATAGAAAGAAAACAATGGTGTGTTCATTTAAGTACTGTTGTTGGTTTTGTGACACGTATGTCAGCAGCAAGAAGTTTATTTCGTCTTTTTCGTGTCCCGCCTGGTCACAAAATTGTTTGCCTGCCTAAGTGGTCTTCACACTGCATAATGAATACACCACGCTTTTGCAAGGTGGTGTGATGACTTTGGCTCTGTGGCTGGGAGCAGAGGGAATGCTCGAGCTGTAAAATTTCAGTTTTACGAAAAATCAGTTTGCTTTTAACAATAGTTTGTTATTAAAAGCTTCGGTGTCAGGTTTAGAAACTGCTAAATTCGTTAGCAGAGAGGTAAAGACTGGAAACTACTGAATTCAACTGCGAATGCCCTGATGGGAACGACACCTTATTGGTGTCGGTACCACTGGCACCTTGTCGGTGTGAACAATGAAGCTGAGGATAGAGTTGTGCTTGCTGATGACGTCGCGCACATCCCTCTGTGGATTTCCCCTCTTGTGAACACCACTTTAGATATGTGACTCCGTAAACTTTCTATGAGGTTTTCCTGTCATACCTGAAGTGTCTACAACCATCGGCGTCTGGTATGAGATTCCGAGGTTTCTATAGTGGAACCCCAATCGTACGACTTTGACAGGACTATGTAAAATTGTTTACCAATCCGCGACTCGTATCATCAGAAAAAAACACTAATTACGGATACAGTGCTCAACTTTACGCGAAAGAGGCACGCAGAAGTTTTAAATGATGTCCGAGTTAATAATCTGCTCTACTTTGAAGAAGCAAGAACTTTCCAAGAAATTAAAATGGAATCATGAAATTGCGTGGTAAAGGTGCAAGGGACTTTATTCTCCCTTTAAAACTTCAAAAGAAATCGGTAATCGCCAGCTGGACTTTCTTGCGGTCACGCAACATCAGGTAAGCTATGGAAGCAGGTCAAAGACGTTGTGGATACAAACAAACTGTCGAATCTTGTCAATACTTTGTGAAGCTTCCAAAAACGCCGGTACACACACATCGGCGTCTGCGATGCTGTCCTCTTCGTCCAAAGTGTCAGCAGGAAGCAGGGTAATGTCTTCAATACTTTTGTCCAGTGCCGCCGTGTCGCAAACGGGGACATTGTCGTTAGCGTTGACATAGTCCACGATCATGGTGTCACTGGTGGAAGAGCCATCATCTCGCCTGAAGCCACAGTGCTTAAACAAGTTGGCGATTGTGTCCTTAGGAATTGCGTCCCACGAACTGGCAATATAGTGCATGGTGTCCAGCAGGGCCGTACCCAGAAAAAACTTTCGGGGGGGGGGGGGGGGGGGGGGGGGGGGTTTCGGGGACAACGGCGGCCATTTTGAAAGTGTCTGTTGTCTTATTTTCGCCTATGAATCATGTGCATCGGTGGCATATAATGGAGAGTTACAGCAAACCGGAGAACCGATCCCGGTTTGGTACCCGGTAGCCGACCGGCGCCACTGCGCGTGCGCAGAGGTGGAGATTAAAATCGGCTGGCTGCCTGTGCACCGACCAGGGCCGTACCCACAAAAAAATTTCGGGGGGGGGGGTTCAGAACCCCCTATCCCCCCCCCCTGGTTACGGCCCTGGTGTCCAGTTCGAAGTGGTTCTTTCTCAGGGAGGATTGTCTTCAGCAACGACTCTGGAATCTTCAAAGTCCCGGGCAATACTGGCCTTCATCACCCCCTCCTCCCGCTTCTTGAATAATCTTTAGCTTTTCTCCTATCGTTAGTGGTGTCCATTTACGAGACATTGTTTGCCGGAGTGCACAACTGCAACGTTGGATCTTTCTCGCTTTGTTAAAGCGGGAACGGCATGGGCAATCCTAGGGCAAGCAACAAGAGTAAAAAGGTGGAAACTGTGGTGGCACCGTAGGTAGCGTGCAGAAGAAAACGACATGGAAGAAAGTTGGGAATAGCCGAAAAAAGACGCAATGCCAAACCGCCGAGCCAGTCAATATAGCACAACATGGGGTGCAGGAGAGCAGGGACGGAAAGGGTGAAGTGCCATCTCCTGCTCCTCCTGCTTGGCGCTGCGACTATCTTGGGCCCCTGGTGGATTGTCGCATGACACGGGAAGCATAGAATCATGCGTCGTGTAAACCAAACTTTTAATGCATTGCAGTGTAGACCGCATATAAGTTATGTCGGGGGAGTCGCGAAAATCTGCACTATAAGCGGTACCGCGCTATAACCAAAACATCAATTTTTTAGGCCAAAATGCACGCCATCAGACAACTTACCTTTGTAAAAGAATTTATTTTATGTTAGATGAAAAATAAAGCTTAGTTTGAGGAAAGTCTTTATTTCACCAGACTAGTACACTTCTCTCTCAAGTGTGTCACACATTTTGAAAGAAATGAGCGACTTTTGCCTGGCGCAGCCTTTTAACGGCGTCGCGGGTTGCGGACGGACGTCGCGAGCGTTCAGGATTGCTAACCCTAATCACTTTTCTCCGGCGATGAAAACGCGTGAAAATTCGCATCCTTTATACGGTACGCGCCAGTAATACCTTCAACTTGAGCACAGGCATGAAATGCTCCAGATAAGAAATCCGGGCGATGTTCGAAAACACAAATGCTTAGAAAGCACCACTGTAGTCGAAGTAAACAAACACGACGACACAAGCGTTTCTGCCATCTTGAGAGTGCCGCCACAACATCGCCGCACGAGTAGATGGATCTTCCCTTCTAGTACGTGCTGGGTTATCATAGCGACACACAACGAAAATTCACAGTCAAGGATAGCGCTTTTACGCGGAACGATGAACTTCCACCACGCCGCCTACGTCGACGATAAAAACCGGCGCCATGTTTGCGGATAGAAGCAGCCGGCCGGCCGGCCCGCGACCAACATGCAACGCGCGCGAACACTTCTCCTCGACCTGCGATTGGTCTGTCGTTGCGGTTGTTTCCAACGCACAGAGCGGAGGGACGCACGCATGTGAACGACACGTGCGTGCATCCCTCCGTCGCTATGGCAACTGAAGCCTCTCTCTTCGCTTCTCCCCGCTTCTTCGAGCAACCTCCTTGCCCTGCGAGTGCCGCTTGCGGCTCGCGCCGTTATCTAGTGTCGCACAGGGAAGCGTGCTCTCTGCGTCGGTCAGTCGGCGCGGTCGCCGGGCTGTTCAGAAAACCGCACTATAACTGGTATTTCCCTTCGCGTGCCTGCATTTTAAGCGGTATGTAATTACATGGAGTTCTATGGGAGGCGAACCGGTGGTTTTAAAAAAGCCGCATTATACCCGGTCCTGCACTATAAGCGGTTGCGTTATAAGTGGTCTATACCGTATTTCTATGGAGAGTTTGTCAGGACTGGGCAAATTCATCGTAAAACTCGAGACGTCTCATAAATGGGGGATGCACAATCAAGGTTCCACTGTAGCCTTATTGCCACCGCCCACCTTAAGGAGGGGTTCTTTGTCCTCAACAGTCGATGACGCTTAAAGAAGCCACCCAAGATGCACTGACTATACTCAAGCAAGTGATGGAAGAAAAGCTGAACTCTACGAACGTCGAGGTAAGCTTCTTTATGCCTCACATTAGCTCTCCGGGGCTTCACCTCTTCTCTGTGCAAATTTGTCCTGAATGTCTTTCACTGTGTTTTTCCAGGTTGCTAATGTCACCAAGGAGAAAGGATACCACATGCTTTCTAAGGAAGAGGTGGAGGAAGTTATCAAAACAATTTGAGGGCAACTCTTTCTTTGATATTTTTAAAGCACTGGCAGTTAATTTGAATAAAGCTTTTTCCACATTCATCTACCTATGTCATATTGTGCAGAGAATAAGTCTCTAGAAAGGAGGGTTTGTGGGTTTTTCACACTGCCGTAAAATTCCCTTAGAACACCCACCCAAAATAAAGAGTTCAACGGTGGAAAACATGGGGTGGGATACGTATCTACTCGCAGAATGAACGCACTTTTTTCCGAAAAATCGATGCAAAGTTGGGGGGGGGGGGGGGGGGCGTTCATTACGCGAAGTAAAATGTTTGCGTCCATATTTACTCGCATAATGAACGGACCTTTTATCCTGAAAAATCAAAGTAACTTCTTCTCTTTGCGCGCGGCACCCTACCCACCCTACCCCGTAACCAAACTAAGCTGTGCAAAAAAAAAACTCCTCTTTGTTTTCTTTTTCTCTTAATTCCTTGGTTTTTTTTCCGTATTTCGCAAGCTGTTTTGTTTGCTTAGGCGTTGTTTAGGCAAGAGCTCTCCGCTTATCTTTCTTATCTCCTTGCGCGCGACGCACGACCCCCCCCCCCCCCCCCCCCCCCTTCCGTAACCAAACTGCGCTGTGCAAAAGAAAAAAAAAAAAGCTCCTCTTAGTTTTTGTTTTTTTTTTAGGTCCGTGGGTTTTTTTCTTTTTGCCGCCTTTCGCAAGCTGTTTCGTTCACGCTTCTCCACTTCTCTTTCTTACCTCCTTGCGCGCCGCGCGCGAACCCAAAGTCCAGACTGCGCTGTGCAAAAAAAAAAAAGCTCCTCTCCATGTTTTTTTTCTTGCTTTGGTTGGATCTTTGCGAATTTTTTTAACGCCTTTTGCAAGGCGTTTTGTTCGCCCACGCTGCCCATGCATTCGCGACCTCGCTGCACTAGGATAAAAAAGTGCTTTCATTTCGCGCGCGTGGAGGGAGGGGTTCAAAATTTTGACTTCCGAGTTGGGGGTGCGTGTATTACGCGAGTGAAAAAAAAATGTCGAAATTTTGAGAGCCGACTTGGGGGGTGCGTTCATTACGCGAGTGCGTTTATTGTGCGAGTAAATTCGGTATATCATTGGGGATGCGAGAGCAAAACTTCCTCAAAAATTAATGATAAACACCGGGACATCTGCTACAAACCATGTGATACAGGAACTGATATCGCGGACATGGCAAATTCGTGTTTCACGATGTAATAAACACGCAGGAATTTGCTACAAACTTGTGTCACAGGAAAGGATACTGCAGGTTGCAGATGCAGCAGATTCATGTTTCACGGTGCGAAGTGTGGAGACCATGCAGAGACCTTCGTGCCAACATGTTCATGCCCAGAACCAGAAGTAACTTTATTCTCTTGAAAATAATATACCAAGCCCCCCAGCGGTGGCGCAGGGTGGCCTGCGGCAATCACACACACGAGGGTTGCGCCCTCTACATCTCGCCCCTCAGAATCACACTAAAGGTTCAACCTCTTGGGACACACCACCCGTCTGCCACACCTGGTTCTTTGTGCAGGTGTGGTATCCAAGTCGGGTTCGTTGCGCCGGAGGTTGTGGCTTGTAGGCGAAGGTGGCTGTTGAGGTTGAGCCGATCCTTGAGCTGCAGGTGCAGGTGGCTGTCAAGGTGAAGCCCGTTCCTGCGCTGCAGGTGCCGCCAGCTCTTGAGAAGGAGCCAGTCCTTGGGCCTCTTCTCTCGCAGTTAGGTCTTCATTGCCTGTCCTGAAAGGCACCAAGTTTCTCCGGTTGCGCTGCCAGATTGCTCCCTCATCAGTTTCCACCACGTACGACCTGGGACGATGCGCTGGACTGAGGACAGTAGCCTTTACTCGTTCTGGACGAATCCAGACACGGGTACCGTCTTCCAGTGGCGAGAGGTTTCTAGCTTGATGGCGGCGATCAAAGTCAGTGACTTGCCGACGTTTGAGCTTCGCGGCCTTGGTAGCCACCTCCTCCTGCGGCTTGCTACTTGGCACCAGCAATCTCCCCTCCTTGAGAAGTCGAGTGTGGAGTCGGCGCCCCATCAACAATTTTGCCGGACTGAAACCGGAGGGTCTGGGGGGTATCTCTGTAGTTAAGCAAAGCCAGGCACGGATTGTGCGCCTTGCGCAGCAAGGTCTTCACCGTACGCGCCATGCACTCTGCCTCCCATTGGACTGTGGGAAGTTGGGGCTGCTTGTCTGGTGTGCGATTCTGTAAGGTGCCATGAACCGAGCGAACTCGTGGGACTGGAAGGGTGGTCCGTTGTCTGAATGCAGAGTAGATGGGATGCCATGACGAGCGAAAATGCTCTTGAGTACTTGGATGACATGCCCAGCTGTTGCACAGTTGAGTGAGACCACTTCCGGGTAACTGGAATAATAGTCGACCATGAGTAGGTAAGTCTGTTGGTTCAGGTTGTGGGAAAGTTGCCTTGCTGCGTGCCCAACCCGGCGGAACAACACGGAGCCAGGATTTCGGAAAACGTGAAGCTACATTTATTAGTAAATTGTAAACATGAAGTTAGTATTAACAAGGTCGTTGGTCGACACCGCCGCAGCGTGTACCTTTCGCTCCAGGCCCCGCTTCTCTCTCTTCCGTTGGCGTCCCCGCTGTTGCTCTTATACGTTCTTTCACGGGGGGTAACGCCCCCCGCGCTTTCTACACAGTGGCGCCCCCTATAGCGTCCACACAATCCCCCCCTCAAAAGTCAGGCATGTCGATGACGTGCTCGTCGTGGTTGTTTGACCTCGGAAGTTGAGGACGTTGCCTTCGTACGACTTCGATGGCCCTCTGCAGCTCGTCGTGGTTCTGGAGCCTCGCAGCGCGGTCGGCAGCTTCCCGGGTCACGTGTAGGAGCCCCGCTCGGTGTGTTTCTCGAGCGAGCTCCGGGACTCCGCACAGCGGACAGAGGAGCCTCCGTTCCTCTGCGGTGTATTGCGCCGCTGGATCGTTGGGGTGGCGGTCCTCCAATGTCAGTCCCCTGAAAGGCTCGGGGACGATGACGTGCGCCTCCCCGCGTTCTGGGCGTGGTTGTTCTTCCCAGGCTTGCCGGGATGCCCAGCCGACCGGTCCACCGTCGGTCTGCACCATCCATGTTGTCACGGTGGCTTGTGGCCGTCGCCGGCAGCGGCGGCAGAGGATGTGGAAGTCCGCGTTGCCCTGATCTCGTCGTGATGGCCCCGGCCCCTGTCCTTGTGGTCTGGGTGACCGTGGTCGCCACCTCGAATGGGTCCCCCGGCCCTGGTGGCCGTGGTGGCTGATATGGCAGCGACGGCCGCGGTGATGAGATCGCCACCCTCTCTCCATCTTCATAAAAATAAGAAACAGCCCGATGAGCGCAACATTAGGCGTGCCGCGCGTGGCCCCTGAAAATAAAAGTCAATAAGTGCTCTCAGGTGGGACATACTACCCCCCCCCTCTCAAAAGGAGAACATATTGATGGGGTATGAACCGGAGAGCGTTCAAAATTTTAAGGGTGAAGAACAAATGTTTTTGTTATTCGCTTCGTGATCTCCCTGTTAGCTGTCACCGACGTCGCAGATTGTACCGCCGGGGTGGCGGGGAGGGGGAATCAGGGACCCGACTGCTGCTGCCATCTGCTGGATCCTGCGAGAAATCTTCTTGGCTGTGGAATAACTTTAGGTCGGTAACATGAATGGGTCCTGTGGATTGACCACTGGAGCAGCAAATAAGTGTGTATGTGAGCGGGGACAGCTTTTTGCCAACACGGAATGGACCCTCCCACCTGTTTGCCAGTGAGGCCGTGAATCCCCTTGTTGCATCACTCAGGGGATGAGTGCGCCTGAGCACGAGGTCTCCCACCTCAAACTGCAGGTTTCGGCGTCCCTGGTTGTACTGCTCGGACTGCTGCAGTCTGGCGACGTCGAGGCTCTCCCGAGCTTCTCTGAGGTTGTCCGAGAAGCGCTTGCGGAGGTCGTCTGCAAACTTCGAGTAGCTGCGGTATTGCGATGTGGGTTCTGTTGAGCGAAGAGCGTTCGAAAGCGGGAAGGCAAGTTCTTTGCCAAAATTTAGCTGGGCAGGGCTGAGACCGGTCGACCGGTTAACCGTGGTGTGAGTGGCGAAGGCCATTTCTGGGAGCTTCGCGTCCCAGTCCTTGTGGCGATCGGTATGCGCAACGAGCATCATCTTAAGGTTCCGGTTCACCCTTTCAGTGATGTTTGCTTGCGGGTGATACGGTGATGTACGTTTATGCTCAATTCCCAGCACCGCACACGCATCCACGAACACCTTGCTAGTGAAATAAGAAGCGTTGTCGGAAATCAAACTCGTCGGGAATCCGAAGCGCGCGAATGTTTGCAGCAGACAATCCCAGATTTTATGCGAGTCCAGTTTGCGCAAAGGGAACAGCTCAACCCATTTCGTGAAATGATCCGTTACGACGAACAAGTACTGATTTCCGCGAGGACTGCGCGGGAATGGGCCCATGACGTCACAACAACAGATCTGCCAAGGGCTCCGGCTTACGATCGGTTGCATGAGGCCTGGGGGTTGACCACCACGTGGCTTCGCTTTCTGGCATGACGGGCAACTACGCGCATACCTCAGTACATCTTGCCGCATGCCGGGCCAGGTCACAATTTGGGACAACTTATCATACGTTTTGCTCCCACTACTGTGTCCGGCTAGTGCGGAGTTGTGCATGTATGTGATGAAAGACTTACGTAACTTTCTAGGTATCACAGTCCGGAACGCCGAGCTGCTCGGGTCGTCATCAGCTTGAGGGATGTAGCGCAACAGGAGCCCGTCGCTGCTCAGCAAGTACGAGTCGAATTGCTCGTCACTCGCTCCATTAACCGTGCTCGTTATTGCCAGCGAGGCGGTCACCCGCTGACACAGCCCGTCGTCCTGCTGAGCCTTGAGAAGTTCCTCTCTTGTGATCAGTGCTCCCCACCGTGATTCAGGTGATTCCTGCGTTGTGATGGCGACAGCAACCAGGCCCGGACCTTCCTGCGTGTGCTCCTCAGGGAGGGGGGCGCGGGAAAGAGCATCAGCAATTTTGTTTGTTGCACCAGGTCTGTACACGATAGTGTAGTCGTATCGCTGTAGCATAAGCGCCCAACGAGCA